ACCCTTCTGTACTAAATCCCGGTCCCCACCTGTACCAAAACCCAGTTCCCCCTCTATACTAAATCCAAGCACCCCCCTCTACTAAACCCCAGCTCTTGTTGAAAAAAAAAAAGCAAAAAAACGATATCAGCCAATAAGCAGACTCCACTCACATTGCCGCTGCCGGTATGCGACTCCGGAGACCAGCCCCTGGTTTACCCCAAATGGCGCCGTCCGCATCCTGTGACAAACGACTCCTCCTGCTAAAACAGATGTGAAAAAGATTGAACTTGATGGACACATCACATCAGATATGTAACTATGTAATAGACACTGAGTTTTATTCATTGAGTTTCATTTTTAATAGTCATTAAATTAAGTAAAAAGTAAAAACAGACTGTAGCTAATAAAATGGCTGAGAGTATTTTAACTACATTCCTAGGAATGATGTCTTAAGAAATGTGGGGGATTGTGATGTCGTATCTTCAGTATCTATTATTTTTGCCAATTAAAGAACAGACCTCTGGGATCACATTCAAAATGCTGAATCAAGTAGCAATTTGAAATCATGCTCTGGAAAAAAATGGAAAAGTACATGAAATTGTATAAAGGGGAAGAAGAAAAACGTTTAAAGTCTCACATCTTCTAAACCTGCTTCTTCTACCAAGAAGACATATTATTGGAAGTGAAAGTTAACCAATCTGGGCTGCACATATTTTTAGGTTACTTCCACTTATATAATTACAGTACCAAGTATTCCGGAGGATTTGATTATATGTTTTAGTTCTGAGTGAACTTTTATTCGTTCCTAGTACTTGTCGTGTCTTTATTTTCATTTTTATTTTACATTATAGTACCTTCAATATCTGTCTGCTTTGATAAGTATAAAAAAAAATCATAAGCATTATTTGAAGAATTTTCAAACTTTAGATGATTTTAATAAGACAAAAAAATAGTTATGATGTCAGGAGTGCCCTGGTTCCGTAAGTAGGCAAACAATCTGAGAAAGGTTAGACAGCCTTTCCGGGTTCCAATCAACTCCTCCTGTGACCCTGAGAACTTCTGTTCTCAAAACGATTGAGTACTTACTCTGAGGGCACATTGCACACCAAAACTACTACATCAGGCTTTGTGTTTGTTCCTTTAAGATGTTTTGGCCTAAAATTTGGATTTCACTTGGAATTTACAACAATTCACTCATTAGTGAATAACCCTATGCAGAAGACAGAGGACAGCTACAAATTTAAAATTAGGGGAAGCAGAGCTAGATTAGGTACACAAAATTATTGGTTAAAACATGAAATAACAGAATAGGTTAAAGGGACACAATAGTCACCAAAACAACTTTAGATTAATGGAGGGTCTTGGTGTATAGATGACTTACACAGTCTTTCTAAACACTTCCTATAAACAGTCATCTAATGTTTGCACATTTTGTTTAATTTAGAATTTCTCCTGCACTGCTAATAGCTTGCTAGACCTTGTATAGAAAGAAACAAAAGAGATTTAACTCCAAAATGGCAGATGATTGAGCAGTGAGGCTGCAGGGGCATGATCTGTATATTAAAACTGCTTTATTAAGCTAAAGTTGTTATGGTGATTATTGTGTACCTTAAAATAAAAAATGCAAATACAAATTACTTCTAAGCCTAATATTCTGATTTTAAATGTTATTATGTTTCAATGAATACAAGGCAAATTCTTGCAAACCTTACTAAAACATAAAGTGGTTTGTTCGAAGAACCATTCTTCCAAAATGTTAATATGCAAAACAAAATCACGTTCATTATTTGGAAATTATTCTTAAAGTGAACCCAACATTAAAAGTTCTCTTACTGGTCAAATATTGTTTCACAATAACAACTGTCTGATAGTATTAAATTAGATATTTAATAGCTTTAGTACTTTCTGCTTCCTTCAGGAAAATTCAACTGTACCTTTGCACCTGCTACATATGTATTAGTGCTTCATTTCTGTGTAGGGGATTACATGGCATTGCAATCTTTTTAAAAATTTTTTTAACATTTTTAAAGAAGCACTATAGGGTCAGGAACACAAACACATTTCTGACCCTATAGTGTTAAAGCCACCATCTAGCCTCCTGGCCCTATCTTACCTCCCTAACTATGGTAAAATCTTACTTGTATTCAAGCCTGAAGCTGTTGGTTTTGCTAAGTCCAGTAAGGTATTGTCAAGTATAAAAAGGGGCAATTATTATCGGGATGAAAATATTATTTTCACTCTTTATAAATCCCTGGTAAGACAACACCTTGAATATGCTGTGCAATTTCTGTTAACTGTTCTAAAAAAGGATATTTTTTTTCAAAGTTAATTTTTTTAATTATTTTCATTTCTTACATGCACAGAAAAAACAACATAAATTCTAAACAATAATAAAACACAATAACATGAAATTAAATAAAATACAAATACATAAATAAAATAAATAAAATTTTGCTTTTCTTTGCTATTGCCTTAATTTCATTTGTAATCCTTATATTCAACTCATACAAGTGTGCAAAGTAAAAATAATTGCCATTGACAACTAGTTCTTACTCACAAGCGGAATGCCCAGCATATTCGTCCTGTTTTAACAGTTTTAACAATTTTTTGCTTAAATCTTTCAGCTTTGCAGTCATACCCTATCAATTTTTCATTAATATGCAATAATGTACACGCTTTAACCTCATATCTGTTTTAGTCTATTCCTCCTTTTGCTATAACCTCTATTTATACCTTACACCTATATTCTAACCAATCTTGCCATGCTTTTCATGGTCACCTTCCCTTCCTTCTATTTTATTTACTATTCTCTCATATTGATACGTCTTGTCTACTCTTTCCTGCACTTCCAAGATATTTGGTGGGATTGTTTTTTTCCAATTTTGAGCAATGCTTATTTTTGCAGCGAATAATATATGAATAATAACTACATTGTTTTTTATTCGACACCAATCTTGGTATATATGTAAAAGATAGAACTCAGGGAAATTTGGTATCACTGTATCCATTCAAATTTGAATTAATAATTTAATATCATTATAAAACTGTGCACGAGCGCATTCCCAGAAAATATGTAATAAAGTTCCCTTCTCCCTTTGACGCATCCAGCTAAAGAAGGATATTAGTGCACTATAAAAAGTGCAGAGGGAGGCTACAAAATTAATAAGGATACATTTCTGTTATGATGAAAGGAAACAAATTTAAATCTCTTTTGTTTAGAAAAACGGTGCCTCAGAGGGGATATGATTGTATTATAAAAATATATTTGTGGCAAATACAAACCATTGTCTGGAAATCTATTCATAAATAGGACAATATATAGGACAAAAGGCCATGCATTTAGACTGGAAGAAAGGAGATTTAGTCTAAGGCAAGCATGTCAAACTCAAAGGCTAGCACAGGCCACATAAACAAGGTTTACGTTTATGTGGGCAGCAAAAAAAACCAAAACCTTATGTTTTCATAGAAATATAGGTTTGTTTTGAAAAGTACAGTATAAAAAATAAACTGCATCCCCCTCTACTAAACCCCAGATCCCCTTCTGTACTAAATCCCAGTCCCCACCTGTACTAAATCCCAATCCCTACCTGTACTAAATCCCAGTTCCCCCTCTGTACTAAATCCGAGTCCCCCCCCTCCATACTAAATTTAAGTGTCCCCTTCTATACTAAATCCAAGCACCCCCTCTACTAAACCCCAGCTGCTTCCCCATAGGATTGGCTGAGACTGTGAAGGAGGCAGATCGGGGGGAAAGCCAGCACAAGTCAAACACAGCCCTGGCCAATCAGCATCTCCTCATAGAGATGAATTGAATCAATGAATCTCTATGAGGAAAGATCAGTGTCTGCATGCAGAGGGAGGGGATACTGATATCTGATATGGTGTGATGCACACTAGGCAAGACTGAGATAGGAAACAGCTCTAGCAGCCACCTGAGGAATGGCAAGTGAAGTTTAAACACTGCTTTTTCTCTGAAAAGACAGTAGAAATGTTGCATTCTATATTGAGAAAAGAACATAAAAGTAAGACAATAGACCATGAATGACTGTATAACTGTGTCAATTAACAAATGAACTAATTAGCTACTATTCAGGTGCAAATATTCTACTAATTACTTGACTAAAATAAAATGGAACAAATTCCGCAGCGCTGTACAATGGGTGGACTAACAAGCACATAATTGTAACCAGACGAGTTTACATTCTAGAAGGAATGGGGTATAGTGATACAAAAGGTAAGGGTAGGGAAGAAAACTAGGTGGCTAGAATAATATTCACTGAAGACCGAAGTATTTTTATTTTTTTATAATTTTTTTCTTGTATTAAAGTGAATGTTAATTGACAGGTTTACCTCCAATCTTTAACAGATAGCATAAAATCTAACAAAAAAAACAACAACTTGCAAAACCTGCAGACCTCTTGTCTGCTGCCTTTGCAAGCCCTCCCCTTCCAATCCCACCCAGACTTCCTGTGGCTGTCCAATCACAGACTTCCCAATGAAGCTCAATGAAAAGTCTATACAAGGCAGGTGCTCTGGGCAATTGCTGCCTTTTGAGTTTAGCTGAACTGAGCTAAACAACCAGGAATTAAAAGAGCCAGTTGTTTGATTGACAGGTTAATTTATAAAAGTGACAATTTCTATTGAAATCTGATTTTTTTTGTAAAATGAAAAAAGAGGACACACTCTTCACACATATGGTTCCTTTAACCTCGGTGTGCACATCTCTTCTGCTTGTCACCCAGGGTACACCAACCACCCCTCTTCATCATTTGTATGTTAGTGCTCTGTACAGCTCTGCAGAATTATTTGTCACTCTAAACACTGAATGACACAGTCTCTTTGTGTTTCTTCTTCTGTGTGCTTCTTTCCAGATAACTGGTGGGTTCCCTGAAGTCATATTTTGGTTTTATGGCAGTCTCAGTATGAAGACCTCCATTGTCACACCCTCCTCTTCTGCTTGGGTTTTCCCCGAGCTCTAGAAAAAAGGAACTGCTTTGGCTGAATGCGATTGGCTGCTAGAAGTCTTATGAAAGCTGATGTGGCTGCAACATACATTAATCAACAGCACATCTGTCACAACACCAACAGCAACTGTCATCTTTAAGACTATTGAAGAAAAGGCTGAGCATGGAGAGAGAACCACAGAAGATAAGAGAAGGATATCTTGTCAAAAAGGTAAATTAGGTTAAAGAATCCATGATCGTCACCATTTAATTTAAGAATTTCCCAGAAATACTTTTTGTCAGGATAAACAGAATTAACACCAGAATAGACACTGTAAGCTCTGCACGCCGGGTTAGATATATTGTTTGTGTAGCTGATCGCTTATCTGGATGTATTTTATTGTTTTCTTGTTGTCATTGATTGTTTTTAGATTATTTTTTTCATTCAGCCATTATTGAATTACTAATCAATAGAACTATTCACTTCTTGACATGGATTCGGTCAAATAACTCTTCTCTAAATAAATGACTTTCTGTGGTTTCTAAAACGAAAGGGAAGTTTTCTTGGTCAGAGTCGCATAAAACGACAAGTTTAGTACTACTTTTATAAAAGTTCAGTTAAGATATTTGAATAATTAACTAAAGTAACTAGGATTAACCAACTTCTGGAACATAGCAGCTACCAGATGATTCTGCTACTTAATGTTCTACAAATGATGAATCCCTGCATGAAAGCCCCTTGTTGTATATTTACTTACAGACCATTCTGCTCTGTATTAACATCTCTAATTTTCTTAGATTACTTAAATTACTTAATTAATTCACAGTCTTACTGACTCCTTAATTGCTCGGAACTGAAACTGTGTCTTCTTAGTAGTCCTCCCAAATTGTCTCACCATCTTCTTCAATTACACCACTGCTGACTTTCACATACACATACACGTTATTGCCATTAGACTGTAAGCCTATTGGTGTTCTTCATCATTTTATCTAAAAGCACTACAGACACAGTTCCCAACCCAGTTCTCGAAGCACACAAACAGCACAATGTAATGTATGAATTATTAGGGTCACTGATTGAAGCTGACACCATAATATTTAAAACGAAATTTAATAGTATCTTAACATCTTAGTTGGCTTGTTTTCCTATAGGGACGAGTAAGAATTATTTTACCTTTTTTAGAATTTGTTTTTAATTGAATTGTTAACATTTATTGGGTTTATTTAAAAAAAAAAAACCTCTAGTTATGTCTGTTGATTTTTGTTTGGCTTGATTCTCTTCAGTTCGGCTTATAAGTGTTTGTTCGCCCACCCATTGTACAATGCTGCGGTGTTTGTTGGCGCTATATAAATAGTAATAATAATAATAAAACATCTACAATCTTCAAATCATTCACTGAACTAAACGGGTTCCTGCTACTTCCAAATGAACCTTATGGCAGCAGTGAGACATATTGGTACTGAATAGTAATAAACATATTGGTACTGAATAGTAATAAAATAGCAACACAAAGTCCCAGCAATAAGGGAAAAAGAACACTACTAAGGGCAGTGTACAATTTGGGGGGATTTAAAGTTGGGGTTATTGCATGGCTTAGAGATAGGAAAACTGGGACTTGATGGTGCTCACCATTAGTGTGCATCAGGGAAAGGGGTTATAGAATGAAGGAGATTCTCTGGCATTAGCAAATTTCACATAGAGATTTGGCTGATTTGAACAGCTTATTGAATGTAGCCAAGCAAAAGAGCAAACATGGCTGCAAAATTTCAATTTGCCCTTTGTAAATAGCCAGCACTTTAAAACAGTTGAAGGTGGACAACAAAATATTTGGCAGCTGTTTGGATTCAGAGAATTGTTCACTAGTGAGCAGGGCCGGCGCTACCTGTTATGCAGACTAGGCAGCCGCCTAGGGCGCACCCTGGGAAGGGGCGCCGCCAGGAGCGCCGGCCCTCCTCATGCTGCAGCCGCCCGAGCGCTCTGTAGAGAGCCTCAGGCGGCTGCAGCTTTGCCCTGGCTGGTGTGTCCATGAGGGCAAACTGCCCGTGCACAGCACGAGGAGAGGGGCTGACAGGAGGGAAGTGCTCAGCGCTCTGCGCTCCCTCCTGTCACTTCCTCACTGTAGCGTGGCCGAGCTCTGTATGGTCCGCGGGTACAGGGAGCATCTGTCTCCTGTACCCAGCCAGACTAAGACTGAGTGTGCACTTCCTTTTAGTCCGGCCAGGTACAGGAAACAAAAGCTCACTGTACCCGCGGACCATACAGAGCTCGGCCAGGCTACAATGGAGGTAGGGGAGGGGGGAGAAATAAGTTGACAGGGAGGGGAGGGGGGAGAAAGGGAGAAAGAAATTGGAAGTTGACAGGGGGGAGAAAGAAATTGACGGGGGGGCAGAAAGAAATTGACAGGGGGCAGAAAGAAATTGACAGGGGGGGGGGGATAAAGAAATTGACAGGGGAGAGTGACAGGGGAGGCAGGGGGAATGAGAGTGGGAAGGGGGAAGGGAGAAGAGAGTGACAAGGGGGGAGAAGAGAGTGACAAGGGGGGAAAAGAGAGTGACAAGGGAGGGGGGGAGAGATTGACATCCATCACACACACAATCACACACAATGCACCCCTTACACACAAAGACAATGCACACCATGCACACAGAAAAACACACAATGCATTACACACACAGACACACACACACAACCCTTACACACAATGCATCCCTTACACACACAGAAACACACATTGCATTCCTTACACACACTCAATGCACCCCTTACAGACGCACACCCTGCATCCCGTACATACACAGAAACACACCTTGCAGCCCTTACACATACAAACACAGATTCACAAAGTGGATTCCTTACACACATATCAGGACATCCCCTACACACTCCACCCCCTGTGAACAAACTCAATGGTGGAACATGAAGGTGGACCCTTGGGCCCAGACCTTGAGCTGTGTAAAGGGCCCCAAAAAAATGGAGCTGCTTCCCGTTCTCCCAGAACATTGATTTTTGTGACCTTAGTTACAAACAGCCTCCAGAGATCCTGTTCTACACCAGACCAGTGGAGCCAGACTGCAGCCCATCATCATCCTCATCTGGTTGTAAGTAGGTAATCTAGTATATTATTAGTGACACTAATCTCTAATTTACCTCACATTAAAGAAACACTATAGTCCCCAGAACCACTGCAGCTTAATGTAGTGGTTCTGGTGTACATAGCCTGTCCCTGCAGGCCTTTTAATGTAAACACGGCGGCACTGCAGCACTGGCGTTAGTTAACATGGCAGATCATATGGGTGGGGCATTGTGATGTCACATGGGGGGGGGGCAAACTTTACTTTTGCCTAGGTCGGCAAAAATCCTTGCACCGGCCCTGCTAGTGAGTCATTTTTAGACTTGGAGATTGATTTCATTCCAAACTGTAACTCATCCAAATTTGGGCCGTTCAGGTGATCTTTCGAATTCCCAAAACTCCAAGCCAATATGTAGCTGAATCACAAACCAACTGAAATGCACAATGGCCAAGCATGTCCATATTGATTTGTGATTCTGAATTCCACCCATGAGGCCATAAAAATGAGTTGATTGGTGGGAAAGGAATGATGGATGGCTAGGGCACTGTCACTAAATGTTGATTTTTATATCCAGTGAGAAGTGACCAATAGAGGGGGGGAAAGGAGGAGCCATACAATAAATCTATATTTATATAGTATGTATTTAATAAATATATAAAATATAAATATATTTAAAAAAATGTACCGCACCTCTTCTTTTTCCCTCTATTGATTACTTTTTTTTCTCCCTTGATTTGTAAACCAAATGGTTGGAAAAAGTGCGTATAAGTGTACTGGAAAATATATTCATAATATAAATATGATGTATGTAGTTCGCAGTACACTGATTGGCCCGTTTTCCATACTCTTAGCTCTTCTGATTCATTTCTCCAAACAGTTTTTGCGTTAGCAAAATCTTCCTCAGCTGAACTGATATATGTCCAAAATTTGACTGTCCATGAAAAACTATTTTCAGAAAAATATTTCATCCGAAACAATTAACCATAACCACTACATTACTTAGCGCACTGGCTGAGAGCGATTAGCTGACACACTCAGCCAATGAGCAGGCCAGGTAAGAAGTTAACCATTACCAAATGGTTTGACTACTTACACTGTTGGGGCGCCAGGCCAGTCCCGACACCATAACCACTACAATACACTGTAGTAGATATGGCGCTTCGAGACTTCCTTTAACACAGTCTTTGATGCATTGGTTTTTTTTTATATCCCAAAATAGTAAAGTATTTTGTAAAGTGTTTTGTAACTTAAAAAAACACCAACAAGCATTCCTTTAATCACGATAGTTTAGAGGAATCACTGTGCAATGCATGTATCCACCCACCCAAGCAAAAACAAGGAAGGGAGAGGACAGAAAGAACAGCATGAAATTTCATTATTAAGCGAACAAAAGGGTGTTTAACCTTAAATAAATAATGCAACCGCAGTTACAAAAAGGGGAAGTGAAGTCCAGCAACAGTCCACTCTACAGGAGCATGTTTCTTGGCTTGTTGCTGAGCTAAACATAAAAAATAAATGAAGTTATGCTTTATAATCTAGACTCCCACACATGTCGTTTTTCCCCAGTTACATAGGTAGAACCACAATGAAATTCTAAAAATATACTGGAAGTGGCAGGAAATACTTACTGACTCGTCATTGTTACCCAATCGTTGATTTTCTGATATGTGTACATTGAATGCCAATCAGCATGAGCTGCCCAAGTAGAAAGTCCATAAATGGTAATACGTGTGAACACTCACTCTTTCATGTTACATTTGCCACATGCAGGCACTTTATTAATATAATAATAAAGTACAACAAGTAGCTCCCAGTGCTACAGAACATGTATATGATCCAGAATTTGTGTAATGATATGCTGGGCCAGTCTAGTACAGTATTATTTGTGGACTTCTTTTTGCCCCAATCATGTTTTTATTCAAGATAGTATTCCAGGATATAACATTTCATAAGAATAATATGTTCCAATATGTTAAAGATTACAGTAAGTTAAGTAATATATCAAGGCACATTATCTTATTAATATGTATATCTTAGGGACATAGCAAATTATTTATTTTATTTTCATATATGTCAGAAGAAATCGTATTTTTGTGGAATTCTAACTCAGAAAAGATAATAAAATGCTCGCGGGCTACATCCAGTCCATAGACAACCAAACGGATATTCCTTGGGTAACACATCTGATACAGAGACATTGACTGCAGCAGAAGAGCCACTTGGCCCATTACATCTCTCCACATAAACATACCCTCCATCTCCGAGATCCAGAGAATCGGGATGCCGTTTAGATGGGGAAAAGGAGGCGAGGCAGTGACGTGATCGTGTCACTGGCTCTGCCCCATTGGGAGCCAACCTGCTTGGAAAGTGCACGGGTCCGCCCAGATTATTGGTAGGTCAGCCTGGCATGAATGCACACCAGGCTACCTGCCAATGAAGGGGTCCAGCCCACGGAGCACATGCCATGCAGATAGTACTGTTTCAGTGTCCTAGTGCCCTGTACATAGCTTTCATGCTATTCTTTTTGAGGGACAGCTCCCTGGTGTCTACAAAAGTTGGGCAGGAACCTGAAAATAGGGACTGTTCTGCCAAAATCAGGATGGCTGGAAGGCCTGCTTAAATCTTTCATGCCATCTAATTGATGACTTTACCACTGATTACATTCATAAAGTCAAACAAATTAGTAATATTTCAGAAAAAAAATGATGCATTCAAACTTTGATGGTCTCTTCATTCTTTAACCTCGGTCAGGCGCAACAGGCACAGCCAATGTTTGTTGTTTTGTCCTACCAAGTGTAAACATACATTATGTATGGAATATGCTACGTTTTATTGTAATAAATGCTCAGAAATTGCTTTCGCCAACGTTGTAGAGCAAATGGAATAATAAACATGTTTTTATTTGAGTAAAAAGTTTGTTTTGTAAAAGTGGCCTACTACGCACAATGCGCCCGATCCTGTTCTTACTCACATTGCGCCTGACCGAGGGTTAAACAAAAAGGAAGACCATGAAAGGTGCCTACCTGCTTTAAAAAACTATCTCATGTACAGTGGAAGATACATCTGTTGGAAAAAAAAGGCTTACACCTCTTTTTTTATACATTGGGAGAGACATATTTGTGAACTGAAAAAAAAAGAACCAAAATGTTAGAGGAAAATAAAATTATGGCCGAGGTGCAGTAAGGAATATTTTTGGAGCAAATAGGGAAATAAATACGCTCAAATGTGAAAAACAGCCTAGACTTTTTATACAGGTATATATTGTTATTCAATGATTTTCACTGTTTTATTTAATGGTGTAAATGCAAAAGAAGTGACAGTTCCCCATAAAATACGCTATTATTATTTTCAATCTATTCTCTAAAAATAGAACCACGATTGTCGCAACAAAAGGAAAATATGTCGGCTATCTCTGGGTTCTGTTTCCTCTTTTCTATGAATGTTTTAGGAAACAATGTATCAAGCCTTAAAATACCCATTTTTGTGTGAATACATGAAATTAAATGGTAATAAAAACAATATGGTGTGATCGTCTCACTCCACCACCATGGGCTTTCGTTTTTATGGTTCACTTCAGCAACATTCTTCTTGTAGTGTTTGTATATATTTTACATGATTTTCCCATTATTTCAACAAGTCAACCAATATTTACCTTAACCCCTTCATTACTTTAATACATTATGCTACACATCAACCCCTACATTACTCTAACAAACTACGCTACACATTAACCCCTACATTACTCTAACAAACTACGCTACACATCAGCCCCTACATTACTCTAACAAACTACGCTACACATCAGCCCCTACATTACTCTAACAAACTACGCTACACATCAGCCCCTACATTACTCTAACAAACTACGCTACACATCAACCCCTACATTACTCTAACAAACTAAGCTACACATTAACCCCTACATTACTCTAACAAACTACGCTACACATTAACCCCTACATTACTCTAACAAACTAAGCTACACATTAACCCCTACATTACTCTAACACACTATGCTACACATCAACCCCTACATTACTCTAACAAACTAAGCTACACATTAACCCCTACATTACTCTAACAAACTAAGCTACACATTAACCCCTACATTACTCTAACAAACTAAGCTACACATTAACCCCTACATTACTCTAACAAACTACGCTACACATTAACCCCTACATTACTCTAACACACTATGCTACACATTAACCCCTACATTACTCTAACAAACTATGCTACACATTAACCCCTTCATTACTTTAACACACCATGCTACACATTAACCCCTACATTTCTCTAACAAACTACGCTACACATTAACCCCTACATTACTCTAACAAACTATGCTACACATTAACCCCTACATTACTCTAACAAACTAAGCTACACATTAACCCCTACATTACTTTAACACACTATGCTACACATTAACCTCTACATTACTCTAACAAACAACGCTACACATTAACCCCTACATTACTCTAACAAACTAAGCTACACATTAACCCCTACATTACTCTAACAAACTACGCTACACATTAACCCCTACATTACTCTAACAAACTACGCTACACATTAACCCCTACATTACTTTAACACACTATGCTACACATTAACCCCTGCATTACTTTAATACACTATGCTACAAATTAACCCCTACATTACTTTAACACACTATGCTACACATTAACCCCTACATTACTTTAACACACTATGCTACAAATTAACCTCTACATTACTTTTTTTTTTCTTCATTCTTTATTTTGTTTGTGCATTTGCTTAATACGAGCGCTTGAGTAGCCACAACTGCTCTCTCAGGCTTTCAAAGTGACATAAATAGACATTTGGCATTGGAAGACAGTGCACTTTTTTTTTTTTAAATTAAGTTTATATGTTATAACATTCTGGCTAGTTCTCTCGCTGTATCGCCATATTCTCGGTTTAATAAAAAGAGAAAAAAAAGAGAGTAGGAATGTGTAGTTTGATACACTCTGTACGTCTAGATCGGGGCTTGGGTGATGAGCAACTTACACTTGCGTCTTGCTGGTGGTTTTCAGTGGTGGCAATGGCGAAAGGGAAATATACCACGCGTCTTGCCATTGTGGTGCTGTCTAGGGTATGGTGTTTTGTGTGGTCTTAGCTATCTCTGTCCCTAGATTGCCCTATGTGCCTCGTAGGTGCTTGTGCAGTGTGCGTGTGGTCTGTGACCCCTTACCTAAGTGGGCGATGTGAATATGCTGGTGGCCCTGGGCTTGGCACTCTCATGGTTGTGACTATTGTGTGTGTGGTATGATGCCCGTTGGTTGTTGTGTCGATTTGTGGGTCATTGCCAATAAGGTGGCCCTTTAAATAAGGGAGAGGTCATATGAATGTGTGCCTTGCATAGTTCCTGATTGTTTTGTTGAGCCAGTTGAAGAAAAGTAAACTATTAAAGCAGTACAATAAACATTAACATTGGTAACTTTTTGCCTGTAGGCTGAGTAGCAGTCATTGGTGTCAGGTGGCTGCTATTGGGGCTCCTCTCCTTCTTGGTACATGCTCCCATGTGTGGGAGCTGGTGGGCTCATCAGTTGGGTCAAGTCCTGGTGGGAGCCCCAGCGCCCCGAGGAAGGAGTCCGCCGCCTCCTGAGTGGAGGTAAGGTGCAGAGTAGTGCCGTTGTGGTCCACTGACAGGGTTTTGGGTACTGTCCAGCGGTAGGTCACCTTGGTTTCTTGGAGGCGATGAGTCACTGGGCGCAGGTTTCTTCTCCACTGGAGTGTGGATCTTATCAGGTCCTGATAGAAGGTAAGACTCGCGGATTCGAAGTCCAGTGGCGTTTTGCCTTTCAGAGGTGCGAAGATGGCATTTCGTATTTTGTATGTGGCAATATGGTGGCGACCAGGCGTCTGAGATAATGTGGCAGTTCTGACTGGCTTATTTCGTTTGGGATTCCCCCTATTTTCATGTTGCTTTTACAGCTTCTCTCTTCTGCTACATCCAGCTTGTTGAGCAGGATTGAGTGAGAGGACTTTAGTTGGGACACCGTTTCTTTAAGGCCTCTCAGTTCGTGTTGGACGTCTATAATATCCTCCTCCTGAGGTTTTCACGTGGTCTGTGACCGCTTGGACCTCCATTTTCAGTATGGCCATGTCTGCCGCGGACATTTGTTTTAGCTCTATTAGGAGGTTTTTGATGTCCAGTTTAGTGGCTAGTGTCAGCACATCAGGGTCAGCCTGTGTGTTTTGGGGTAGCAGTTGGTCTAGGGTATACCCCATGGTGTGCTCCGAGCATGTGGAGCTGGTGTCTGGGTCAGGTGTGGCCGCCATATTTGTGACCGCGGGGCGCTGGAGCATGGTGCTGATATCGCGGGTATCTTTGCACGCACCTGTTGCTATCCGCTGGGATTTTCGTCCCATTTTTGCCAAGTCTGTGTTCATGTTCTCCGATGGTGGTGTAGCTGCGGAGAATACCACGTTGTGGAGCGCCGTTTTGAAGGCTCTGTAGTCTGGGTAGGCCTTGATTTTGCGGTGTCCTTTCCGACCCGATTGCTGGTATAAGAAGGGTATCGGTCGGTTGTCGGCTTGGTCACTTTGCTCTGCCCGTTGGTCTTTGGTGTTGTGTGGGCTTCTTTGGCTGGATTTCCCCCGTTTTTGTCAGAGCTCTCTGTGCTTGCGACCGCTCGGTTCAGTGGCTAAGCTCCGCCCCCACCCCTACATTACTTTAACACACTATGCTACACATTAACCCCTACATTACCCTAACACACTACACTACCCACTAACCCCTACATTACTCTCACACTACGCTACACATTAACCTCTACATTACTCTAACACACTATGCTACACATTAACCACTACACTATTTTAACACACTATGCTACACATTAACCCCTACATTACCCTAACACTACGCTATCCATTAACCTCTACATTACCCTAACACACTACGCTATCCATTAAAGGGACTCTCCAGGCAAACAAATTTACTCACCTGGTTCCAGCGCCAGGAACCTCGTTAAGCTGCGCCCCCTATTTCGTCAAAATGCCGAAATAGGCGGGCGCGAGCAGGGAGCAATCAGACGCTTCCATTTGGAAGCGTCATTGCTCCCTTGTGCGCATTCATGAACCCCTACATTACTCTAACACACTATGCTACACATTATCCCCAACATTACTCTAACACATTATGCTACACATTAACCCCTACATTACTCTTACACACTACGCTACACATTAACCCGTACATTACTCTAACACACTACGCTACATATTAACCCCTACACTATTTTAACACATTACACTACACATTAACCCCTACATTTCTCTAACAAACTACGCTACACATTAACCCCTACATTACTCTAACAAACTACGCTACACATTAACCCCTTCATTACTTTAACACACTATGCTACAAATTAACCCCTACATTACTTTAACACACTATGCTACACATTAACCTCTACATTACTCTAACACACTACACATTAACCCCTACACTGTACTAAGACTACACTACAGATTAACTCCTACATTAGCAAAAACACTGCACTTCACTACACATTAATCCCTACATAACTCCAACACACTACACTACGGATTAACCCCTATATTTCACTAACATACAATACTACATATTAACCCCTATGTTACTTTAGCACACTACACTACAACATTACTCTAATACACTACATAACAATGATCATTATCCACTACACTAAAAGTTAACCCCTGCACTGCATTAACTATACCCTAAAAACTACATAAAAGATACATAACTGTAAAGTGTGTTTATGGGAAAATAATGGCATCTATAAACCACCAACTTTTTGTCTTATTATGTTTCCAGAACCCCTTGATGGGTTTATTTTCCCCTTAAACATGGTTTACATTATCTATCCTATATTCTTATCCTTCTGTCTCTTTATGGGGGGACATAGAGGATTGCAATCATAACCTCCGGGTCTTTAACTGTTTCTGTGCCAACCTCCAGACAACAAATACTCAGTATGAATCAGAGCACTACATACTCTGACGCGGAATGTTAGAGTTTATACCCATTGCATTATTTTTTTATATTTGGAATCATTTAAGTAACAACTTGTAAATAGGAAGTCTAAGGGTTCATCGGTGTCTGCACTCTCTTTATTAGGAAGTTCCTCAGGAGTGCTTGTGTAACTGCAGAGATTTCATTATTTTTCATTACATACTTGTACAGTAATTGTGAATAAACGTTTGCAGAGAAGAGTATTGCTTAATGTGATGAAGGCTGTGTTACAGCCACCAGCAGTGACTGAGCTACAGGGTGCGTGATCCAATGCTCATATAATTAGCCTTAAAGGGACACTCTAAGCAGCATAAATACTGTAGCTTAATAAAGTGGTTTTGGTGTATATAGTTCATGCCCCGGCTGTCTAACTGTTAAAATCTCTCCTCTGTAGAAGTTAAATCACTTTCAGGGTTATTTTCTAAAGTGAGAATTCAAAATGAATTTCAAATTTAAGGCAAAAGTAACCTAAATTAAAAAACTCCCCAAGTCAGCTATATTTCAGCTCCCTGGCCTAAGATTTGAAATTAACTTTCAGTTATGATTTAAGTAAATTATCGTGTTTGACTTCACTTTAAATTCTCCCTTTAGTGGATACGTCCATTTATGCAGCCCTAGCCGCAGCTCCCCTGGTAGTGACACACACAGCATCCCTATATACTTCCTGAAAATCGGTCTCTTTTTTTTTTAAAACTTATTGCAACATGTGTTTTAATTTAGAATATCATATTTCCTGCTGTGTTAGTTGCCTGTCAGTTAGTGTCTGCAGAGGTATTTACATCTGTGCATTAAAACTGTTCCATTAAGCTAAAGTGGTTTTGGTGCTTAGAGTATACTTGTAATGGAATCCAGATTTCTTTTCTGGAACTGCATTTGACGTGCTTCAACTAGGCAAAGGAGTTTAAAGGGCCACCGTCCGCCTGAGCACAATAGATTATAGTAATGAAAAAAAAATATCTCTAGATTTCTTTTTATTTTAACTTACATTTTCTGCCGGGTCATACAGATCTCTGCATTGCCACTCTGGTGAAGAAATTGGCAAGTGAGCATGCACTCATACGGAGTGTGCATGAGCCTGAACGTGCATTACACGAGGACTAAATCCATATGGTGATAGTAAAAAAAATAATGCAAAACATCGGAATACTGTATATGCACTAAGCACCGTATATTGCAAGATTCAGGTTGTGACAATCGTTGAGTTGGAGACTTTTTCCATATCAACTATTTTGGATAATTTGTTGTTAATAGTATAAACACCTGTGGGTCCACCTAAATATATAAATTACTCTGTAACTTACAGGAATCTGAGGACAAAATAGCAGCTTTCCGTTTGGTTTCACACCTTAAACCTTTATTTTAACTGCTTCAGTGTGACGTGTGCACAGTTTCGAAGTTCCACGCAAAAATATGTATTTGGTAAAAATAAGTGTTAAAAAAAAAGTGGCTGAACACACGTTACAGGTTTAGTTATATGTACGTGTAGATTACAAGTATTCAGCATTTTCAAATGCAGATGAAACGATATTGCACTTTGTACAGCTGAAATGAAATTTGAGAAATGGTTATTCAAAAACATGTTTCAGGAAATAAAATATGTTCTTTATGAATACAGTATAAATGACAATGAGAGCTACACTTGCACAGTGAAAAAAAAATGGTTTCTGTTGAACCCCTTTACACAAAGAAGATGTCCCAAATGAAAGGGACCTGTAGCGTGTAAAGAGAACTTATGGCAGGGGGTAACCCTAAAAGTTTCAAAAATGAGCACAGAAGTGATCCAATGGCATTAAGTCCAGAGGATACAATAAAGTTTCCTGGGTTTGCAAACAAATATATTCATAAGGTTAAAATCTAATTTTATTAATGAACATAACCATCAAATTAAAAAAATCACACCACATCTAAATCCCAAAGGAGAGCTAATGAGCTCAGCAAACCTGATGGGTAGAAAGGGTAGCAGAATATAGGAGGCTGCTGAATGGCAGATAGTGAAAGGGTTAAATGGTGAGAACCTATGTACTATGACCTTCACTAGCAAGCGCATAAAAAGTATGTATAACTCGCAAAGAAGCTAGTCTATAATGCTAGATGCTGGTGCATGGGCAGAATAAACTTCTTGTTACCAGCGTCTAAGATCTGTCTAGCTGTACACACCTGCTCTGTAGAAATATTGAAACATAATGTCTCGCTGTTTTTGTTCAAACAGATCTGGATAAAGGTAACAAAGAGACAGTGATTTCCCACCTAATTAGTCTTTTAGTGTTGCCAATCAAGGATCAAACAGCTAAGCATATTAACTCATAGTGTAAAAACTACCTCATGGGTCTGAATAAATATAGATGGTAATAGACTGTACACTAAATAGCCATGAAATTGAGTCCCTTAATCCCTTAAGGACCACTCTAGGCACCCAGACCACTTCAGCTTAATGAAGTGGTCTGGGTGCCAGGTCCTTCTAGGGTTAACCCATTTTTTCATAATTATAGCAGTTTCAGAGAAACTGCTATAATTATGAATGGGTTAAGCCTTCCCCCTAATCCTCTAGTGGCTGTCTCATTGACAGCCACTAGAGGCGCTTGTGCTCACTGTGATTTTCACAGTGAGAAACGCCTAAAAGCATTGTAAATGCTTTCCTATGCGAGGCTGAATGCGCGCGCAGCGTGCGCAGCGGGGCCGGAGGCGGAGAGGAGGAGGAGAGCTCTCCGCCCAGCGCTGGAAAAAGGTAAGTTTTACCCCTTTCCCTTCCAGAGCCGGGCGGGAGGTCCCTGAGGGTGGGGGCACCCTCAGGGCACTATAGTGCCAGGAAAACGAGTATGTTTTCCTGGCACTATAGTGGTCCTTTAAGGACCAAACTTCTGGAATAAAAGGGAATCATGACATGTCACACATGTCATGTGTCCTTAAAGGGTTAAAGGAACACCATAGTCACCTAAATTACTTTAGCCAAATAAAGCAGTTTTAGTGTATAGATCATTCCCCTGCAATTTCACTGCTCAATTCACTGTCATTTAGGAGTTAAATCACTTTGTTTCTGTTTATGCAGCCCTAGCCACACCTCCCCAGGCTATGACTGACAGAGCCTGCATGAAAAAAAAAAAACTGGTTTCACTTTCAAACAGATGTAATTTACCTTAAAGAATTGTATCTCAATCTCTAAATTGAACTTTAATCACATACAGGAGGCTCTTGCAGGGTCTAGCAAGCTATTAACATAGCAGGGGATAAGAATCTTAAAATCTTAATTAAACAGAACTTAAAATAGGGCTCTCTTTACAGGAAGTGTTTATGGAAGGCTGTGCAAGTCACATGCAGGGAGGTGTGACTAGGGTTCATAAACAAAGGGATTTAACTCCTAAATGGCAGAGGATTGAGCAGTGAGGCTGCAGGGGCATGTTCTATATACCAAAACTGCTTCATTAAGCTAAAGTTGTTCAGGTGACTATAGTGTCCCTTTAATAATTTCCTTCCTGCTCAAAATGCCCTAGATAACTCCCATCATAGAGAGTAGCCCCTAATAGTATGCTAAATAAATCCTCTAAACATAACCAAAGAGTGCCAAACTAAAAAGTTTAAATGAGCATTAGTGGACACCTACGGGAAAGAAAGAACTTGTAATTTTGTAAATGTAGCAATAATTCTGTATTCCTTTTTCCACAGGCAATTTTTAATAAATGGAAGCCTATGTGGGTAACACTACTTGAAGATGGGATCGAATTTTACAAGAAGAAAAGTGATAATAGTCCCAAAGGAATGATCCCTTTGAAGGGGAGCACTATAACTAATCACTGCCAGGATTTTAGCAAAAGAATGGTAAGCATTTTTTGACTTAATAGCGGAGTGCAGTGCTATGGCAAATAATACCAGGCAATACTACTTAGCGTTTACTAAAAAGCGCAGTAATGACTATGCTTGGCACCCTATACATATTTGTGGACTACTTTTATAGTAATACCACGGTCAAGATGTTCCTGGGCATCATGGGTATTGCAATTCAGTTTTGAGTTCACTACAATCTACGACTACAAGGTCACTATTAGTACACCATAATCACTTCAATAAGATAAAGTGGTACTGGTACTAGAATTCACCTTTAATGTTAAGTGACAGCCACATTGTGGCTGCAAAATGTTTTGTTTTTTTGCCTGCCTTTGAAATAAACATCAGCTGCTAAATGTTATACAGCACATTGTTTCCATTGTAAATGAAGAATAGAACCACTGTGTTGGATGCTGTTGCTATATGACTTCACATTACAGTAAAGATAAAAATACTCGTTTGTGAATTAGAGATATAAGAGATTTATATAATATAGATTGAAATTCAAATTTTCTTTACCTATTTCTCCATTCAAAGTCAAAGTAAATTTAAAAATCAAGCATAAGGAGTTTAATAAAAAGTATACATTAAATACAAATTACACAGGTGAAGGGCACATGTGCTATTTATAATGTCATGGCGGAGTTACTATGGCAGTGAATTCATAAGCACTCATTTCTCTTGATAAATACTATTCACAAAATGGTACACATAAAAAGTTCTGACAAATCAGTAGAATTGAATGTGAGTAACATACAGATGTTAGATTCAAGAGAGGACCATGTAAACCTGGTATATACATGGTCTTCATAAGCTCTTTTCAGCTGTTGAAGATGTCTGCTCTTCATTTTTTTACCACAAGCATGGAAGCAAGTCCTAAGACAGCTGTGGGTAATTTGGTGCCATTGGGCATCTGGTTTCTGAATACAGTTATCACCTATTAATACTTGTTCTACAAATGAACTAATTGAATTTACCTAGTTGTCTACTTCCTTCTTACTCCAGAGAGAACGCGGTCAAGCCAGTTCTCCAGCTGCCAATCAGAAGTGCCATACGTGATGGGACTCAGATAAATGTTGAGTTCCACATCCCATAACTGTTTCTCATTATTAAAACCAAAACACGATCTATAGCTTCCCATTAGCAGTTCTGAAAATACTTCACTTCACCACTGCAGAAGGCTCTGAGTTTCTGAAAAAAATATCTGCTTATTATTCTATGAATCAAGTATACTGTATTTGGCTCAATGCTAATCAACGTGCAATGCCACGTACGTAACTTGGGGTTGGGTTAGCTGTGCACACAGCCCACCAGTGATGCTCTATTTATGGTAATACACAATTATGCAAATTGCATAGCAGTAAAGGCAGGGCAGTCAGAAACATTAGAGGGACACTATCACTATAGTCACCCAGACCACTTCAGCTCAATGAAGTGGTCTGGGTGCCAGGTCCCTCAGGTTTTAACCCTTCAGATGCAAACATAGCAGTTTCAGAAAAACTGCTATGTTTACATTTGAGGTTAAGCCAGCTTCTAGTGGCTGTCTTCCGGACAGCCACTAGAGGCGCATCTGCGATGCTGGAGGCTAATTTCGCCTCCATCACACAGAGCGTCCATAGGAAAGCATTGAGAAACTTTCCGCGCATGCACATTCCGTTCCAGTGACGTTGGATGTGGGAGCTGACGTGTGACAGGGAGGAAAGGTCGCCAGCGCTGAGGGAGCCTGGCGCTGGGTTAAGGTAAGTGGCTGAAGGGGTTTTAACCCCTTCAGCGCCACAGGAGGGGGTCCCTTAGAATGGGGGCACCCACAGTGCACTATAGTGTCAGGAAAACCGCTTTGTTTTCCTGACACTATAGTGACCCTTTAATTCCAGAATAGCACTTCTACAATGTATTTGTTGTATTTGTTGACCATTTTGTTATCACAAATTAGAAATTAAATTCCATCATATAAAGTTCCGTATAAAGTTACATCACATAATTTTAAGTCAAGTGCATTTCAACTCAACACAACACAATCCATTAACATGTTCTCAAATTTAGAATGTTATATCATTGTATTGATAGAATGAATTTGAGTAGAATTGTTCATGAGAACAAGTCGTGCTTCTTCCAATATTAATTACATAGAAAAGTATAAATTTTGCAACATTTTGTGCTCCATTTAGTATGTGTTCAAGATCACCACAACTAAGGAGCAGGATCACTACTTCCAAGCGTCCCACCAAGAAGAACGAGATGCTTGGGTAAAAGATTTGAAAAAGGCAGTTAAATGTATCGAAGACGGTCAAAGGTTTGCGCGGAAATCTACAAGAAGGTCCATTCGATTACCTGACACTATTAATTTGAGGTTAGTGTTATATAAACATGAAACAGGACCATAACAGGCCGTAAAACCTCAGGACTTTCTTTGCAAAGTTGTGAATTGTAGAAAATATAGCAAGGGAATTGCAAATATTAGCTATGGGTAGTTATCAAATTTAAATAGCGCAGTAAGACAGTGTTATAAATTACAAAAAAACGAATGGTTCTTTTTATTATTTATCCTCCACAATTTTTTTGTAGGTATAGCCATTTTTATTGTGTCATTCTATGGGTATTATACGCATCCAAAACAAAGAAAACATGAAAAATGAATCGAGCAATACTAATCTATTACAGAGCAGATAATATATATATATATATATATATATATATATATAATAAAGAGAAGATAAAGGGAGCACACTAGGTCTTCAATTCAGTGAAATAAAGTTATTTAATGTATTATCAAAAATACATGGGCTGTGAGCAAAAAAATCAACGTTTCGACTCTCCTGGGGTCTTTATCAAGAACATTAGAGGCCTGGAACTTTTAGTTTTCAATAGTGACATTTGCCATAAACAAAGCAAGTGACACTTTGGTTTTACAGGGCAGTCATTACTAACTTTGGCAGTACAAATGATGTTTGACAGATTATTACATGACACTTAGCCAGCCTTTAGTTTATTCATCAATAACACATTATTATTAGAGTTTATATAGCTCCAATATAGTACATGTTGCTCTAAGAGGATATTTAGAGGTATGCTTGAACTTTGTAAAGCAAAACATCAACAAGCTGAAAATCTATAAGAATTTGAGGTTGGTCTCTTGACAAAGACTATTACTGATGAGTTGGTTTTACTTCGTTTCAAACCTGGGTTTCTCAGTGTTAAGGCAAAAACATCACCACTGTGACTATTTGAAAGTATGTAAAAGTCATGAATGATTGCATACCCCATGAAAATCAATGGACTATTTTTTTTTTTTAATTTCAGTGAGTTGTATATCTCCATGAAAGACCCAGATCGTGGAATCAGAGTATTAAAATTGGAAAAGGACAAAAAAGTGTTCAATCAGTGCTTTACAGGTAAAAACAAACTCAAGGAATGTTATTGGTGATGATAGTTTCTCAGCCCCCCCTCTTTAATATACTGTAGAAATGAAATGGCCTGTCACAAAACACTTCACTTATTAAGAAAAAAAAGGATCGCTAACACTGCTTAGAATTACTTCTCTGATAATGTAAATGAACATGGGGTGCGTACTAATGCAGGGATCAGTCATCAGAAAATAATGACCCCTTGAAAAAGTAAGACAAGCACCATAGCCACTACATAGCAATCAATATCAGCCAATGAGCTAGTCTTGCACTGTTGGGCTTAGCTCAGGTGAGGAACTCCAGCATTAGTAGTGGAGGCGGGGAGCAGCAGCCGGCAGTCCCCAAGTAAGAAGTAAGTCCATTTGAAAACACTTTGACTACTTACTTACAATAGGGGGTGCATGTGCCTGGCTACATAACCACTACAGTGACGTGGTTCTTTTAAATAATAATCTGAAGCTATGCCAGGTTACCTTTTCAAAGTGTGTTTTAAATGTATGTAGGTATATATTCAGGCACACAAATTATTATCATTGAAGTTGGTGTATTAGACCCAGAGCAATACATATCAATAGTGATGTCCCGAACGGTTCGCCAAACGGTTCGCGAAGGTTCGGGACATCACTACATATCAACCCTTCGCAAAAGACACTGGTAGTCTCAGATGACCAGGAACATTACAACAAAATATAATTAACTATACTATATATTACAAGGTGAATTATATTTTGTTCTAATGTTCTTGGACATCACAGTAACAGATCACAGGACATCAATAAATCAGAGAGAAGCTGCTATGATTTTTTTTGTACGGGACGAATGATACATTGAATGAATGTCTAATGGTATGGCCAATGCCCCCTTTCAGTGATGGTATAAAAACTAGATAAGGTTTCACTTACCATCTTTCCCATAAATGTCTTCAGGAGTCTTGCAACAGGAACCTGCAGTAATGGACAATAAATAAGTACTATTTTTCTTTGCATTTATCATTAGCAGGAAATCCAAAAGACGCATTGTTAGTAAGTTTCAGAAATTCTCATATTAATTCACAAAGTAGAACTACTTTTGCAGAGTGCCTGACCTCATTCTAGAACTGCATGGTTACGTGTTCTTTTAATGTGCTACGATGCGTGGGTTTTTGTGTGTCATGTTAGCAAAATCAGCTGCACACTAGGGTATTGCAAATATTTGATCACTCTTACATTCTTGCTTTCTGCACTAAACATTTACTCTTTTTATATGTGATATAAATATATAGAAACGTTATATATAGAAACATAGAATGTGATGGCAGATAAGAACCATTCGGCCCATCTAGTCTGCCCAATTTTCTAAATACTTTCATTAGTCCCTGGCCTTATCTTATAGTTAGGATAGCCTTATGCCTATCCCACGCATGCTTAAACTCCTTTACTGTGTTACCACTTCAGCTGGAAGGCTATTCCATGCATCCACTACCCTCTCAGTAGAGTAATACTTCCTGATATTATTTTTAAACCTTTGTCCCTCTAATTTAAGACTATGTCCTCTTGTTGTGGTAGTTTTTCTTCTTTTAAATATAGTCTCCCCTTTACTGTGTTGATTCCCTTTATGTATTTAAATGTTTCTATCATATCCCCCCTGTCTCGTCTTTCCTCCAAGCTATACATGTTAAGATCCTTTAACCTTTCCTGGTAAGTTTTATCCCGCAATCCATGAACCAGTTTAGTAGCCCTTCTCTGAACCCTCTCTAAGGTATCAATATCCTTCTGAAGATACGGTCTCCAGTACTGTGTACAATACTCCAAGTGAGGTCTCACCAGTGTTCTGTACAATGGCATGAGCACTTCCCTCTTTCTACTGCTAATACCTCTCCCTATACAACCAAGCATTCTGCTAGCATTTCCTGCTGCTCTATTACATTGTGTGCCTACCTTTAAGTCATCAGAAATAATCACCCCTAAATCCCTTTCCTCATATGTTGAGGTTAGGACTCTATCAAATATTCTGTACTCTGCCCTTGGGTTTTTACGTCCAAGATGCATTATCTTGCACTTATCCACATTAAATGTCAGTTGCCACAATTCTGACCATTTTTCTAGTTTACCTAAATCATTTGCCATTTGGCTTATCCCTCCTGGAACATCAACCCTGTTACATATCTTAGTATCATCAGCAAAAGACATACCTTACCATCAAGACCTTCTGCAATATCACTAATAAAAATATTAAAGAGAATGGGTCCAAGTACAGATCCCTGAGGTACCCCACTGGTGACAAGTCCAAGCTTCGAATATATTCCATTAACTACAACCCTCTGTTGCCTGTCACTCAGCCACTGCCTTACCCATTCAACAATATTGGAATCCAAACTTAAAGATTGCAGTTTATTGATAAGCCTTCTATGTGCAACAGTGTCAAAAGCCTTACTGAAATCTAGGTAAGCAATGTCTACTGCACCACCCTGATCTATAATTTTAGTTACCCAATCAAAAAAATCAATAAGATTAGTTTGGCATGATCTCCCTGAAGTAAACTCATGTTGTCTCTGATCTTGAAATCCATGTGTTTTTAGATGTTCAACAATACTATCCTTTAACATGGTTTCCATCACTTTCCCCACTACTGAAGTAAGGCTTACTGGCCTATAGTTGCCCGACTCCTCCCTATTACCTTTCTTGTAAATGGGCACAACATTTGCTAACTATCAATTATCAAATGTGTTTAATGCACATCTGCATATTTTTGTTTAGGTACCTGTGTAGCTGACTGGTTAATATCAAGCAAATCGGTCAGGAACCGCCAGGAGGCTCTTATGCTGTCCACGGCACTACTGAACGAAGGTCATCTTCACCCAGCGAATGATGTCGCCAAGAACGCTGCTGAAGGTTTAGCAGAAACTACATTAGTTGATACATCAGATGCATTATATTACTTTGTAAGTCTTGCTGATAAATTGTTGTTCATCATATTGGCTCCTGCACATAATTGAGGCAGCCAGTGTCCTAACCAGATATGCACGCTATGTCTGAATTGTAATTGACCTACACAGATCTGATGGGAAGAACCCCATACAGCTTGTATGAAAGAAGCTTGGAATGTTCAAGTTCCCTTATACTTGGCACATTCCATAAACCCATACTCATCAGGAGTTTATGAGATATTGTTGTCTATTTTAACAACTGTTTAATTCATGAAATGACATGAATGAAACTACTGTACCAATTGTTAGAAACTGAGATAAGACACACCCAATAAGCATAATGTCTATAATGTTTCCATTAGTTGAATATATGTTTTTCTATAAATGGGCCTGTGCTTGAGCTATGTCTGTACATACTCATTGCACATACTTCCTTTAGAGGAATCTTTCAGGGTAAAAAGGTCCCCCCAAATATTGACATTAACTAGAAATATTTGTGCATACAGGGAGGAGGTGAGCTTCATTCTGTAATATATATAGTATAACGGTGGGCTTAAACTCCAGCAAATTTTGCAAAATTAAAGGGACACTATCGTCACCAAAACAACTTTAGTTTAATGATGCGGTTTTGTGTATAGATTATGCCTCTGATGTCTCACTGCTCAATTATTTGTCATTTAGGACTTAAATCACCTTTGTTTCTGTTTATGCAGTCCTAGCCACACCTCCCCTGGCTGTGTCTGACAGTCTGCATGAAAACAGAATTGTTTAACTTTCAATCAGATGTAACTTTTTCTGTAAATAGAACTTTAATTACATAGAGCAGGCTCCTGCAGGGTCTAGTAAGCTATCAACAGAGCAAGAAATTCTTACTTAAAAGTTCCACTATAGGCACCCAGACAACTGCAGCTTATGGAGTACCAGGTCCCCCTAGTTTTAACCCTGCAGCTGAAAAGGTTTACATTGCAGAGTTAACCCAGCCTCTAGTGGCATGCTCATTCGGCTCCACTCGGGAGCTGACATCAACTGGGGGAGGAGAGGTCACCAGCGCCGAGGTAGTCCAGCGCTGGATTAAGGTAAGTGGCTGAAGGGGTTTTAACCCCTTCAGCACAGCGGGAGGGGGGACCCGAGGGAAGGAGGGACCTATTACCCTATAGTGCAAGAAAAACGGGTTTGTTTTCCTGGCACTACAGGATCCCTTTAAAGGACCACTCTAGGCACCCAGACCACTTCAGCTTAATGAAGTGGTCTGGGTGCCAGGTCCCTCTAGGATTAACCCCTTTTTTTATAAACAGAGCAGTTTCAGAGAAACTGCTATGTTTATAAATGGGTTAATCCAGCCTCCAAATCCTCTAGTGGCTGTCTCATTGACAGCCGCTAGAGGCGCTTGCGTGCTTCTCACTGTGAAAATCACAGTGAGAACATGCAAGCGTCCATAGAAAAGCATTGTAAATGCTTTCCAATGAGACCAGCTGAATGTGCGCACAGCTCTTGCCGCGCATGCGCATTCAGCGGAAGAGATGGAGAGGAGGCGGAGAGGAGGAGGAGAGCTCCACGCCCGGCGCTGGAATAAAGGTAAGTTTAACCCCTTTCCTTTCCATCCAGCCTGGCGGGAGGGGGACCCTGAGGGTGGGGGCACCATCAGGGCACTATAGTGCCAGGAAAACGTGTATGTTTTCCTGGCACTATAGTGGTCCTTTAAAGAAAATTTGCAAAAAAGGAAGTGTAGACATTAGATAACTCTTTACAGGAAGTGTTTGGAATGACTGTGTAAGTCACATGCAGGGAGGTGTGACTAGGGCTGCATAAAAAAAGTGATTTAACTCCTTAATGGCAGAGAATTGAGCAGTGAGACTGCAGGGACATGATATATACACTAAAACCGATCTATACACTAATACTGCTTCATTAAGCTAAAGTTGTTTTGGTGACTGTGTCCTGTTAAACTGTGTGCAATACTCTACAATGTAAGCTGCCTAGTGCGTAAATGGTCACTTTAAACATTTAAGTATTAGGTCTGATGTTTTTTAAGTATTTCACTAAAATATCAGATTCTTATGTATTTTGTATCTCAAACCATGTATAGTTTGAGATTGAGATTTGAACTGTCTATATATTCCTATGTATCGGCAGCCAGACAGTGGTTTCTTCTGTGAAGAGAACTCCAGTGATGATGATGCAATACCTAGAGAGGAATTTCGTGGGATAGTAGTAAAACAAGGGTGTATGCGGAAACAGGTCGGTATCTAAAAACAATACTAAAAATGTGAACATAACATCAATATATTTCATTAATTGCATTCATTGTTTTATTAAGCCATTTAAGAACTCAAATGTAAAAACGATAGATTCTTTTTTTTTTAAATAAAATCGATTTGTTTTGAAAGAAGGAATAACTTGATGTTTTTATAATACAAACTGCAATCCCTGGATTGCATGCTGAAATAATATTGCTATATATTCTTAAAAAAATATAAAATATATATAAGCTTTTTACAGAAGTAATAATAAACAGTTTTGTTCAGCACAATTTCTCCAGTAAACGATAAAAACATCTAAATTAGATGTGGTATTGGATGGTGGGTGTACTTTAAATTAACTAATTCAAAAGAGCAACCACATCAAAAATATCATATTGTACTCAACATCTTACTTTGTGCACCCATTATCTGTCTTATCTACACAGTTATTGCAAATTTATTTCATTTTTGTTAATTGCATACACATATAAATAACAATTAATACATAGAACATCCTATTTTTCAAACCACAAACATATATTTAAAATACAAAGCATTGTCTTGTCCTTTCTCTCTTCCTCTTCCTATTTTTTTCTTCTTAGAAAGTTGCTTCCAGGTTGATCTGTCGGGAACCTTTTCTCTTGTGTTGTCAAACAGAATAGCATTTTTATCATGTCATAAACCAGACAATTACCAGTTTGGATACAACTCTTCTGACTAAGCCAAAACAAGGCACCACAACATAAAGGCACCATAGTATAAAGGGACCACAGAAAATATAAAGGCACCAAACACACTGTAACGGACCATTTTGCACACAAGAGGTTAAAAACCGCTTAGGCGATATTCCCCTTTCAGATGCACAGGCAGCTACTGCAAACACCAATCTCCCGAATTGCAACTACATGAATACTCAAACTCCCGAACAGGAAACACACAAATTCACCAACTCCCGAACTGGAAACACATGAATGCTGGAAACAGCCGAACAGGGAAAATCATGCAAACAGCTTACACTCCTAGCAATCGGTCAGAAGCAGCATACAATCCATTTCCCCCAATAACGAGACGACACTTCGTTTTGAGGGTCAAGCAGAATCTCATTTACTGGGGCTACCTGCCCGGCTTTTATGCAGGTCTCCCACCTGGTGGACACTCCCCTAGGGGACCAGATGGAAGACTGGGAAACATATTGGACATTGACCAATCACAAGCTTACAATCCCACAATGCATCACAATCCCTCCTCTCTGTCCTGGAGATAATTGGGAAGTAATCCAATTATCTCCAAGGACAGAGGCAAAACTCCATTAACCACATGGCAGACAAAGGACAATAAAAGACATAGAATTACATACTGTTACATTTATCACATAGAACATACACATTCTACCTATCCCCAGATAGCTTAGATCTGAGCACACATTATAACTGGATGGCGCTCAGATCACATACATACAGTTCAATCGCCATGGATCCAAAGTCTTTCATACAGTCTTTCAGTATACGGCTGGGCTCCATGGCATAGCTATCTGGGGTAGCATGGTTTAAACAGTAAAGTACCGAATGGACCGGTGTTCGGATAATTGACTGCAGGTAGGAGAAGGGAGGTCGGCGGCTCAGCGGTGTTCGTGACTTTAACAGTCCGCAGAAAGGCAGAAAGGCATGAACCAGCCTATCTGCAGGGAAAAAAAACAGTGTTAAACATGGGGCCATAGTCTAAAGGGAGCAGGCGAGCAACCAGGCTCCTCCAGTGGCCAGTGGCGAGGTTGGTTACGCAACGCACATAAAATAGCAAAACCCCAAAGAGTATTGAAGAGGAAAACAAAATATATGTCCATAAATAAGGGCCGTAGGACAGGAAAAAGACTGAGGATCTTAGGAATGGAGCCTCCTTTTCAAGTATATAGTGTTTTTCCTGTCCTATCAGCTGTATGTAGAGGAGCTAACCCACTTGTATAGGCTGCCATGATTAGCAAGGAAAAAAACCCGATATATTTTAGTAAATATCTGTGCATTTTTGTTTTTTATAACAAGCCAAAGCCGAATTTATAAGAGCACTGAGAACAGACAAAAACATGTCAGCGTATTCTTCCTGCTCTGGTCTCCTACACATTTTAGCTCATGTGTAACATAAGAGAAGCACCGTATACTATTTCTATATATAATAATAATGAGCCTACTCACAAGGGCAGTCCATAACTAAAAAAACAAAAAGAAGCATGCTCCCCTTTTAGACTCTTTATTGTGGTAGCCAAGAGGTAGATCCCGATTTGTTATAGAACTTCCACTGTCGCGATGCTTTATTAAGGGAATTTATTTATTTAATTTTTTTTGGTCATACCTTATTTTTTTACACTTACAATAAGTTTACACAGCTTCATATTTTCATATATATATTTCCCTTCTGTAGTTGTGCATAAATGTTGCTAATTAGAATATTGTAAAATATATATTTTTTAATTAAATTCCATTAAGTCACCAAAGCTTGGAAGAAAAAACACTGAAGTTACAAAAAGAGTAACTCTTTAATTTGACACTTTGGGATTTTTGAGGGGACGGATGTGAAAAAAACTCAGTTGCATAAACGCTTCATCAACAACGTTTAAAATGAGAAATCTGTAGTGTGGCTTTTTTGTTTGTTTAATTAATTTTAACAGTTAATTGATATGTACTTTGAGTCCACCATATTATAAATAACTGTCAGGTTAAGAGGAGTACGCACTCAGGGAAAGTGAAACTGGGTTATGATGCCTTAGACCACGATTAGTTTTGTAGTCCAAAACATAAATGATTCTAGATTGGCATTCAATACAGCAGTCTTGAGTGATATATACAGGGTGTCAAAAGTCGGGAAGAAATCTTGAATGTTTAAACACTTAGGCATTAAATCACATTTGTTTCTATCTATGCAGCCCTAGTCACACCTCCCTTAAACAATATGGTTTTCATTTTTATTCAGATTTAACTTTCTTTAAAATGTTTTATCTCTTGCTCTGTAAATTGAACTTTAATCACAAACTGGAGGCTCTGCAAGGGCTAGCAAGCTATTAACAGAGCAGAAGATGAGAAATTCTAAATTAAACAGAATTTCCAATAAAGGAAGTGTAAACATTAGACGACTCTTTACAGGAAATGTTTAGGAAGGCTGTGTAAGTCATATGCAGGGAGGTGTGACCAGGGCTGCATAAAAAAAGTAATTAAACTCCTTAATGGCAGAGAATTGAGCAGTGAAACTGCAGGGGCATGATCTATACACCAAAACTGCATCATTAAGCTAAAGTTGTTTTGGTGACTATAGTGTACCTTTAACATAAATAAATTCAATTTGGTAGCTTTCAAGATGGCAGAGTGATGAGTTAACATGACAGTTGTTTAATAATAAAGCACTTACTGCACATTTTATTTCTGCACACTAATTATGTCTAATATATTCCTCTACGCTTTAAACAAATGTTTAAACAAACAAACTGTGTGTATATCAATGTCTTTGTCTACAGGGACACAGAAGGAAAAACTGGAAAGTACGTAAATTTGTTTTGAGAGAAGATCCTGCATATTTGCATTATTATGACCCGGCTTCGGTGAGCAGACTTTATAAATATAGTTGTGTTTGCTAAGACCTGCTGATAATACAAAACACCCTAAGGGAATATCACATTTTTTTTTTAAGTTTATCTAAGTAGATGATCATTAAGTAAATGTTAAGTCTAAAATACTCTGGTGTGTCTTGTTAGTAAATACTGTACATTAGAATTGTCAAAATTTTGATTTTCCAAAACAACAATAAATATTAGACTTGTGCACAGTGAGAAAAAATTGGTTCATCCGAAAGCTTTCGTCTGTAAAAACATTTTCAAGCAAATCATGTTTTATCCCTCTGGTGTTTCCATTTGGACTCATTTTATCTATGCAATCATTTCGGGAAAAACTATTTGGAAGAACGAAAATGGGTATGTTGGTATACTGTAAAATATACGCATAACGTAATTATTAAATATATATTTTACAGTGCACAGATAGGTGCATTTTTGAGAAGTCACAAATAGAAAAAAAATGAGGAGTCGTAAAAAAAATCTTTGTTTATATATTATATATTTATTATATTTATAGTATATATATATATATATATTTTAATGTATTTTTTTCACTGCTCCTCCATTTCTTTCCTGTATTGGTCACTTTTCACTTGATCTGTGAATAAAATCACCATTTAGCCATCAATCATCTCTTTATCTATCAATCATCGTTTTTTTCATCTATCATAATTTTTCCCATGAATTAGCATTTAATTTTTTTATGCCATGGACAGAACTCCGAATCACGAAACAAACAAAACAGTTTGTTCATTCCTCCTTTCATTTGTGGCATAATTCAGTGATATGGTCAATTCAGAATGATGGAATTCGGATGTCTCACGGATTGCCCAAAATTTGGATGAATCATGATTCGTATGGAACAGAATGCAAAAGTCTATTAAATATACAATAACAATTATGAGTAACCTATTCACTTGAGAATCTTTGTAAATTTGTAACTGTTAATTTTATCTACATTTTGCAGCATCTGTTATGATAATTTTTTCTCTATCTCTCTCTATATCAGGTTAATTGCCATACATTGTGGTTACATTTGAAAAATCAGTCTGTGGTCATATAAATGATGAGGCTATGTTTAATTTGGTAACTTTATTTCACCCTTGAGGTCTTGTGTGATATAATCTACAGTTTCATTTAAAAGTTAGAATACATTGTAGTCACAGCAAAGCACTTTAGATGTTCCTTTGAGACCAAATCACATTTTAAAATGTACCGTCGCAGTATGATGTTTAGATTTAGAAAATAATACAATATTTAAAATATATAAAGCAATGTATAGTGAGACATGCCAATAACTTCTCCTGTTTATAGGGGGATGATGATCCTTGTGGAGCTATTCACTTACGAGGCTGTGTAGTGACTGCTGTAGAGGATATGATGGATGGTAAGTTTACCAAAGCATAGATCACAGGATTGTTTTCTAAAATACCACCAAGGATTAGACCCACCTCCCATGGGAGAAGATCAATATGCTGGGCTGGGGCATTAGGAGAAAGAGCGGGATGTAATAAGGCAGACACAACATCTAAGAGTCTTAGTTTTGATTTTTAGGCAAGGTGTCCAGAGCCGTAATGTGTTCTCCACTATTCAAATTTAGCCCTTTATTTGAATTAGACAGCCATCCCCTAATCATCCAGACAACTAGCCAGCTGTTTGGCCACATTGCTGAGACTTTAAAAGAAAAATAGAATGGGGAGCGAGATTAAAACAAGCTGTGATATGCATTATATTCCACAATTGCATGTCGTTCAATAGAGGACTATATTACATTACCATATTTTCCGCTGATCCAAGATTCAGTTGACCCAGCCTGGTCTACTTCTATACTCACTGATATTTACATGTCACATAATTTGTAGACAAAGTCTTTGAACTCAGCCCTCTCATCGTTGGTAGATTTCTTTATGCTGTCCAAGGCAATGGGTATGTAGAGTAAAGAATAAAATAAAAGAGGCTGATTAAAAAGCCATGTTCATCGTGTGATCTAAATGTCAGCCATAGTTTTGTAGACTTGCATATCTATTGCCCTTTTCCTATTTGAGCGGTGGGCTTTTATAGCTGTTGAACTACCCCTCCTACATGTTATACCAATCTGGGCGCTCTGGCAGGGTTTTGGAAGCTGTACTCTAGAATCAGTTTGGGATAACGTCATTACTTAAAGGGACACAACAATCACTGAAACAACTTTAGCTTAATGAAGCTGTTTTGGTGTATAGATCAAGCCCCTGTTGTCTCACTGCTCAATTCTCTGCCTTTTAGAAGTTAAATCACATTGTTTATGAATCCCTAGTCACACCTCCCTACATGTGACTTACACAGCCTTCCTAAACACTTCCTGTAAAGAGTGGTCTAATGTTTACACTTCCTTTATTGCAAATTCTGTTTAATTTAGAATTTCTTATCTCCTGTTCTGTTAATAGCTTGCTAGACATTGCAGAAGCCTCCTGTATGTAATTAAATTCAAAGGTCAATTTACAACCTTCTAAATTAAGTTAACATCTGATTGAAAATCAAAACCATTTCTTAATGCGGGCTGTGTGAGTCACAGCCAGGGGAGGCGTGGCTAGGGCTGCATAAACAGAAACAAAGTGATTTAACTCCTAAATGGCAGCAAATTCAGTAGTGAGACTCCAGCTAAGGTTATACTGGTGACTATAGAATCCCTTTAACAATAATCTGAGAACTGCAGTGAAAATAGACAAACTCTAACATAAAGTATCTTTAACTTCATTTTTATATGTTCTTGAAATCAGGAAAAAAGCAGGACACAGACAAGAATTATTTTGAAATCATCACAGCCTCCGAGGTGCATTATTTTCTGCAAGCAGCTTCATCTGAAGAGCGTAAAGAGTGGATTAAAGCTATTCAAACTGTGTCCAAAATAGGAAAGTGATTATTAAATGCAAAGCATTAGATACATTGTTGTTATTGTTAATTGGAGATAAAAACACAGCACACATATATATATTTTTTAATGTTTGTTATTACACAAGATGCCCATTTTTAAATATGTTTCAATAGCTATCATGCGCAGTGCACACATACTGCAGGGGTCTATGTATAAAGTGAATATTTTTACAGTGCAGTCCTCATATGCCTGCTCCTACCCAAAATCCCTAGCAGCTGTACAAGCACTGCAAACGGAGAAAATCTAGAATCAGTTTGGGATAACGTCATTACTTAAAGGGACACAACAATCACTGAAACAACTTTAGCTTAATGAAATCCATTAGGTCTCCGGACTTGCCTGACCCTCTCTGTATAATTTAACACATTTGCCATATGGATATTATTTTACACAAATAAATGTAAATAGTAAAACTAATTTAATTTAATCAATAAAAGTGTTAGTTTTCCTTTAACCCCTTAAGGACACATGACATGTGACATGTCATGATTCCCTTTTACTCCTGAAGTTTGGTCCTTAAGGGGTTAAAGTGATAAAGTATGTATGTTGCATTGTATTCCACACACAATGAAACCTCTACTATGTAATTTGCTTAAAAATGCAGGAAAAAAAGATTCTAAAAAATGTTGCACTGTGTAAGGGTTTTTTTTTGTTACAGTACATGATCCAAGTTCGCGCACTGTATGTATCATCACACTACTATACACAGAGAGACTGTAACAGTGTGTGCAACTTACCTTTCATACTGCTATTCATAGCTGATGGGTGTCTATTACATTTTTCCCAATAAATTGATTACGTTTCTGCACGTGTTGTTCAGGACTTGTCTCTTGTGTATCTCTGTGGGCCTAGCGTTACTGCACATTATTTGATCTGAACAAAGTTTCTCAGTATCAAAGGGAATTTTTTTTGTTTTACATTTCCATTTCAGGAATTTGTTTTAACAACTAATGGAAAATTAAACATTTTTGTTTCAGAAACCGACATTTATTGAAAAAAAGCTATTTCATCTTCAGTAATAGGTCACCGCTCTGAATAACAGCCTGCTGTGTTGTCGTTTTCTGTCTCAAACAATTTAAGATATAAATACACCAAGTCGATGTTTTGTTGTCTGTTTTGCAAATGTTCTTTACATTTGTGGGAGAATTAAATATAACTATGTGATATCTGCTGCATTGTCAGCGAAACACCCAAAACCACCATGTATTATAAGAAAAAAACACAAAAATATTTTTCACATCCTTCATTATTAAGCTCACTTCAGTAAGATTTATTTGAAATGTTAAATGCAAACGAAAAGCCACAAAATAGAAACCTGATGTACAGATCACTCTTCAAAGATACCTAAAATATAAAATTGTGCAGATTTTAATGTATGAATAATTGGATAATTCTCTGCACAAATATCAAGATTTAAAGAAATAGAAAACAGCAACACACCCTACTTCAATTGATATAGATGCTAAGTAATAAGTGTACAAATAAATGCAAGTTTTGTAACATATAGAAAGTAAAAGACAAAAAGGCAGTAAAAATGGTGGAATACCGTGTTTATAAATCTTTGCTAATAGTTTCCTGGCACAGCTGGATTTCAGATTCTCGAAATACCAGCAGAAAGCAAATGTTGTAACTGCATGTGGCTATCATGCAAACATATTAAATGGACACTCTAAGGACTATAACAACTACAGTTCATGTTCTAGAATGGTTTGACTACTTACAATAGGAGAGAGCAGTGAGACTCCCAGGGCTCCGAGTATCCCTTTAAATATAGATGTCTGAACAAAACCAGATATCCATATTCAAAGGATGTTGCAGGCTGCTACTGCATATGCCTCAATGTATGCTCAAGAACCCCAAATCACCCCCACCCCATGCCATTATGATCCACGAAGGCTTCTAAACCCTGCTGTACAGTGCAGGAGTAGAATGGAATCTATGTAATTTAAAGTCCCTCAATCGGGTGAGGACCTTAGCTGGTTCAGAGGTGGAGATATGTGGCGTGAAAATATTTAGAATTTTAAATACTGTTACTGAATGGGTTAAAAAAAAAGTTGTTGAGTCAAATTTTTTTCTGACTTCAGCGTTTCCTAATTTAACAAGTATTGTTAACTGAAAAAGTGAAATGTCTTACTCAAGCACAGATAACGGTGTTCTTTGCATCTCTTCCTTATTGTGAGGAATCAACGAATGACATATGTTTCCTGTCAATTCATATCATATGTGCTCACTGACAATTTTGGATATTTCAGTTTATCAAAAAAAAAACACAAGCACTTAATTTAGCTTATAAATTCCAATGTATTATCCAGTCTCATGTAGATCTGTTGCATGTGTCGTGTAGAACAAAGTGAAGGGGTAAAGTCATATAATGCAGCTTAATAATAATTAAATGGTAAAAATGTAATCTTAATTTGTTACATGCGCTTGGTAGTAATTGCCAAAAGAAGAAAAAGAAAAGAGTTAACCTTTTTAGTAATACTTTTGTGGAGTTATTTTATATTATGAAATGTGTATGTTCATAGTTGCTGAATAAATTATATTTAATTCACAGAATATTTCTGATTCTTTATTAAAAAGACTCCGGATTCCCAAAGCACTTCAACATGCTGAAGTGCTTTATGTGTGAAGAATGTGCCCACTTTTTTCATTTTACAAAAGCAGTACATATGTATGTATGTGAGCAGTGGAGTGTCCCTTTAACACATAAAGTTATTCGTCTGCATAGGCGTATGCATGAGTTGTGCTCAGGCACACTCTAATGCAGCTAAACATTGATCTAGCTGCTGAACTAGCCAACAGGGATATCAAAAGTTCTCCATAATTGATTGTGTGTGATTGTGGAGTTTATGGTCTGCATCCTCAAGGGCCTGGACCAGAAGGAGCATTTACAATGATGTACAATGGTCTGCACATGTTGGAGGTGCAGACCACAAGCAACTCTCGAAGGACCACCAGAAAGTGGAATCACAGGAACCACTGGTTCACTAAGCACCCGATCACTGTTCCCTCGGGGTCACCAGGAAATAGGGAACATTGTCCTGCCCAAAAGCCTGGAATAAACAGAGCCTCCCCACACTCATCTACCAACACACTTCTTACCACTAATTACACTCAGCCACTTATATCACTCACAACTACCCATACACAACAACACAGTCACAACAAATTAGTCATAACTAACCCCACACAGCTACACACAAACATATCAATGCTCACAGATCCCCACACGAGTCAACAGACAACAACCACGGGTACCAACATCACTCACAACTACCCATATACAAATATACAAATCACTCACAACTACCCATGCACAGCAACACACAACAATCACAGCTACACATGCACACCTGCACACATTGATCACAGTTACCCACACACATCTGGAAATCCCCCTTCAATACTGCCCTCTGGAACGCACGCTCTGTCTGCAATATAACTAAATCCACTGCTGTCCATGACTACTTCATCTCTCATTCAATAGATCTACTAGCCTTAACAGAAACCTGGCTCTCCCCCTCTGACACTGCCACCCCTGCATCTTTGTCCTTCGGTGGTCTCCAACTTACTCACACCCCAAGAAACTCTGAATGTAAAGGTGGTGGTGTTGGGTTTCTCCTCTCCCCTCACTGCTCTTTTAAACCTCTTCCCACCCCCCCTTCCCTCTCTTTCCCATCATTTGAAATACACTCTATTCGCCTTTTCAAACCTTTCGCTGCTAACATTGCTGTTATTTACCGTCCCCCTGGTTCCCCTCTTCTCTTCCTTGACCATTTTGCTGGCTGGCTACCCTATTTCCTCTCTTCTAACATCCCATCCCTAATTCTCGGGGACTTCAATATTCCTATAAACCCACCTTTGACCTCTGCAGCCAATAAACTACTTTCAATTACTTCCTCCCTCGGGCTATCACAGTGGGCAAATTCTCCCACCCATGTAGCTGGCAATACCCTTGACCTAATCTTCACTTATGCATGTACTGTATCTAATATCTGCAACACTCCTTATCCTCTCTCTGATCACCACCTCTTATCGTTTGCTCTCACTACCCCCTCACCCAACAACCTCCGCCTAACCAGCCTCAACTCAGGAGGGACCTTAATTCTCTTGATCTCCAACAGTTGTCAGCTGACATTGATTCACAACTGCTATCCATCCCTTCCCTATCCTGTCCTTCACTGGCAATCTCCATATATAACTCTACTCTTACATCTGCCTTGAACACTGCAGCACCACTCCAAACAAGCACCTCAAGGAGGACCCGCCCCCAACCATGGCATACTAAATCAACGCGCTACCTGCAAAGATGCTCCCGGTGTGCTGAACGCTCCTGGAGGAAGTCTCGCACCCAGTCAGACTTTCTCCATTGTAGATTCATACTGTGTTCATACAGTGCAGCCCTTGCCCTTGCCAAACAGTCCTATTTCTCCTCTCTCATTAGTTCATGTTCCCACAACCCCAGGCGTCTCTTTGACACCTTTAATTCTCTTCTTCGCCCTGCTGTGGCCACCCCCCAAACCAACCTTACTGCTGACAACTTTGCATGTTACTTCACTGACAAAATTGAACAGCTAAGGAAAGAATTCTCCCCTCCTTGCCTTTCTGTTTCTCAATCACACATTGATCATGCCTTTCCTACCCTTCAGACATTCTCCCCAGCCACTGACCAAGAGGTGGCTGCTCTTCTTTGCTCCTCTCGCCCCACCACTTGCCCGCTCGATCCTGTCCCGTCTCACCTTATCAGATCTCTCTCCGCTTGTCTCGTGCCTTCTCTAACACACATCTTCAACTGCTCGCTCTCTTCTGGCATCGTCCCTGCTGACCTTAAGCATGCCACTGTAGTACCTATACTAAAAAAACCATCCCTTGACCCGTCCACCCCCTCTAACTACCGTCCCATATCCCTGCTCCCTTTTTCCTCAAAGCTTCTGGAAAGACTCGTCTTTACCCGTGTGTCTAATTTCCTCAATTCCAACTCTCTTCTTGACCCCCTTCAATCTGGCTTCCGCCCTCTCCACTCTACAGAGACTGCCCTTATCAAAGTCACTAACGACCTAATCGCAGCTAAATCCAAAGGCCACTACTCCATACTAATTCTTCTTGACCTCTCGGCGGCCTTTGACACCGTTGATCATGCTCTCCTTCTTCAAACTCTGCAATCGCTTGGTCTCTGTGACTCTGTCCTCTCGTGGTTTTCCTCTTATCTCTCCCAGCGCTCATTCAGTGTCTCTTTTTCTAATGATACCTCCTCCCCTCGCCCTGTCTCGGTTGGAGTCCCCCAAGGCTCCGTCCTTGGTCCCCTTCTATTTTCTCTTTATACTGCCTCTCTTGGCAAACTTATTACCTCATTTGGTTTCCACTACCACCTGTACGCTGATGACACCCAGCTATATCTCTCCTCCCCGGACCTCTCCCCTGCTGTCCTGCAACGTGTCACTGCTTGCCTTTCTTCCATCTCTGACTGGATGTCCTCCCGCTTTCTGAAACTCAATCTCTCAAAAACTGAGCTCCTTGTCTTTCCTCCTCCTAATACTGATCCTCCTCTTTCGCTCTCCCTTCAAGTTTGTGGTACCAACATCAGCGCATCCTTGCAAGCGCGCTGTCTTGGCGTCATACTTGACTCTGGTCTCACCTTTGAGTCTCACATCCAGCATGTTGCCAAATCCTGTAGATTCCATCTCAAAAACATAGCCCGCATCCGCCCCTTTCTTGCACCAGATACTACCAAGGAGCTTGTCCATGCTCTAATAATTTCCCGCATGGATTATTGTAACCCTCTCCTGCTTGGTCTTCCCAAAAGCCGTACTGCACCACTACAGTCTGTAATGAATGCTGCTGCTAGACTGATTTTCCTCTCTAGTCGTTTCTCCCACACCTCACCCCTCTGCCAGTCCTTACATTGGCTTCCTGTGTGCTATAGGAGTCAATTCAAGGCACTAACTCACACCTATAAAGCACTGAACAACTCTAGCCCCTCCTATATCTCCTCACTGATCCACAGGTATGTCCCTTCTCGGTCTCTCCGCTCTGCCCGTGACCACCTCCTGTCCGTTGTCCGCACCCGTACGGCCAACTCGCGCTTGCAGGACTTCTCGCGGGCGGCTCCCTTCCTATGGAATAGCCTGCCTACCGCCATCCGACTCTCCCCTAGTCTTGCATCTTTTAAGAAGTGCCTTAAAACCCATCTCTTTAGGAAAGCCTATGGCCTCCAAGACTAACCCCTACCTCACTTACCTGTCTCTTGCCCTCCCCTAAAGGGCAGCCCACTTTTTTTTTTTGATTGCACACTCCTGTCCTAATGTGTCTTACACCCCACCTCCTATAGAATGTAAGCTTGATTGAGCAGGGTACTCTTCAACCTATTGTTCCTGTAAGTTTATTTGTAATTGTCCTATTTATTGTTAAATCCCCTTTCATAATATTGTAAAGCACTACGGAATCTGTTGGCGCTATATAAATGGCAATAATAATAATAATAATAATAATCAACAGAGAACAGCCACAGCTACCCACAAACATCAACAGAGATCATCCACAACTACCAACACACAACTACACATATCACTCATATCTGTCCAGAAACTGCCACACATATCACTCAAAACTACCCACACAACTCTCAACACACAGTCACCGTCTTTTAACACACATTAACAGACCCAGTCACCATACACACGTGCAGTCAGCCATACACAGCCACTAGACACACAACACACACAGCTACAACACTTACAGCCACTCCGAAGATGTATCTTAACAAACAGCACACATGCTATAACCACATGCACACACGCTGTCACCACACACACACAACTAGCTATACATAGCCACAACACACATAATTCAAAACTTACAGTCCTCCTCCCCACCTCCCCCACATACAATGCACACAGGATGAACCCACACACGTGTTGCCCTTTAAAAGAACATTCCATGCGCCCTAACTAGTACAACCTGATAGAGTGGTTATGGTGTCAAGAGTTCCCTCTCTGAGTAAATAGTCAGTCCTGGCAGAACCAAAGTAAATTGTCAAATCATTCTTAAATACTATGTCTAATTACTGTAAACGGAGCACCAGGGCACCTTTGGCACCATAACCACTACAGTGAGCTGTAGTAATTATGGTGCTTAGAGAGTTCCTTTAATAAATATTAACTTTTACATAAAATAAAAAAATTACAAAGGGAAAAGATTTCCAAGTGCACACTCTAATAGAATGTCCTGCACACGCCTACGTTAGTCTAGAATTTAGCTTGGTTTATAGGTTTTCATGGAATTATACCTTTATCTCTTTGTGATGGTAGTCACCATCACCAGGAGTTTCAGACGATCACTTTATGTAGCAAGGCTTTCTGAATAGCAAGGCTTATTAATTTGCATATTCAGGTAGATTTGCATATTTCTAATTCAATAAATAAGGAGAGATGTTTTGTGTTAATTATTGTCTTCACCACCCCTTTATAAATATGCTATTATGTTATTATAATTTCTTGTATGTTTTCTGACATATTTTAGTTATTTGTATTCTATTAAGTTTCTCTCAGGAAGCTTGCTGTATTAATCATATGGGCTAGTCCCAAGTAAAAATAAGGTATTGTATGTCAGTTCCTTTTGGAACTTGTGTCCTGTGTGGGCAGGGAGAGAAGGTAGCTGAGCCGGAAGAACCTGGTGAATTGGATTTTGAGTTGGATCTTTTTTTTAGAGGTAGATGCAGAGATGGCACAATGTGCGTTGCAACTTACACCCTGATCCAGTGGAACCAAAAAACAAAAACAAAAACTGAAAAAATTATACACTCCTATGCATATATATTTCTCAGAAAATACAGTGCAACATTTATTGTAAAGTGCCAGTTTACAAAGACATCTCCAGAATTCACATGCAATAAACAAATAAATATAGTGCAGTGCAGAGTCTGTATAATGAGTGCAGAGTGTGTATAGTGCATGTAGTGAATGCAGAGTGTGTATAGTGCATGTAGTAAATGCAGAGTGTGTATAGTGAATGTAGTGAATGCAGAGTGTGTATAGTGCATGTAGTGAATGCAGAGTGTGTATAGTGAATGTAGTGAATGCAGAGTGTGTATAGTGCATGTAGTGAATGCAGAGTGTGTATAGTGAATGTAGTGAGTGCAGAGTGTGTATAGTGCATGTAGTGAATGCAGAGTGTGTATAGTGAATGTAGTGAGTGCAGAGTGTGTATAGTGAATGTAGTGAATGCAGAGTGTGTATAGTGAATGTAGTGAGTGCAGAGTGTGTATAGTGCATGTAGTGAATGCAGAGTGTGTATAGTGAATGTAGTGAGTGCAGAGTGTGTATAGTGCATGTAGTGAATGCAGAGTGTGTATAGTGAATGTAGTGAATGCAGAGTGTGTATAGTGAATGTAGTGAGTGCAGAGTGTGTATAGTGCATGTAGTGAATGCAGAGTGTGTATAGTGAATGTAGTGAATGCAGAGTGTGTATAGTGCGTATAGTGAATGTAGTGAATGCAGAGTGTGTATAGTGAATGTAGTGAGTGCAGAGTGTGTTTGTAGTGAATGCAGAGTGTGTATAGTGAATGTAGTGAGTGCAGAATGTGCATAGTGAATGTAGTGAATGCAGAGTGTGCGCAGTGAATGCAGAATGTGTATAGTGAATGTAGTGAGTGCAGAGTGTGTATAGTGTATAGTATAGTGAATGTAGTGTGTGTAGTGAGTGCAGAACGTGTGCTTGTATGAGGATTGTGTGTGTGTGTGTGTGTGTGTGTGTAAAATAGGGGGGGAAGCATTTTTTTTTTTACATTTATATGTGTATATTTTATTTTATTCACATTCCCTGGAAGTCCGGTGGCATAGTGGAGGGAGCCAGCCACTGCACACTGAATACGGGCCCAACACACTCTGTGTTCCCTCTCCAGCAATGCTCTGTCTAACTCTAGCGAGAACCACCTGTCTGGTAACCTGTGGCAGCGCTCAGACGTCCGCGGGACTTGCGAAAGTGAGACACAGAGCAGCTGGAGAGGGAACACAGAGTGTGCTGGGCCCCCATGTGCAGGTAGCAGGGGGTCCACAGTCACAGGGCAGGTCCTGCAGGACTACTAACAGGAACAGTGCTCCTGCTGTGGAAAAAGTGCAGGAACGCCGTTCCCACGCATTCCTGCAGGACTCGAGCTCTGAGCACAAGGCAATGACCAGTGGTTACAACTTGAGTAGAGAGACTGTCAGGAGTAGTAGAAAGACTAACAAAAGTATTCAAGTTGAGTTCCAACGACTAAAACACATGAATATGTTACACTTTTAAGAATATTAACAACAGAAAAGTGACAAAACGGGCCAGGATTGTAATGTTAAGATGGTGTAGTCTGGCGTCTATAGAGGTATTATAGGTCTGTATTTTCATCAAAGAGAAGTCCTGCCTGTCGATGACTTGTGGTTAATTCATACATCTGTTGAACATTGCCAGTATTTTTTCTCTGTACTCCTAGCTCCAGTCTTCAGTCAAACAGCATTTTATTCTCCCTCACCGAGTTAGTATTTTTGTCGGCCTGTCCCTGCACAATTCTGAATTTCTCCAAAGCTCTGAGAATGGTTTAGAACTACAGTTATGTGTAAATAATTGTTGCAGCTCTATGTCTGTCCCTCAAAGCTGTCAATCAAGCAGCTCAGAACGAGTTTCCTGTGTTAATTTTATCCAAGTTTTTTGTATGGTGTGTCCATGCTGCATTCACATATTCTCATATGGAGTGAGCTCTGTCTACTTCTAGCGGGGAGAGCTGAGTAGTGAACTGCACATGAGCAGACTGTGGCTCTGCTGAGAGCTGCATGCACCATGGTTAATTTATTTTACAATGTATTTATACCCCAATTTCCTTTTAGCTAACATTTTGGGGAATTAAGCAATGGATAAATATGCAATAAATGTAGAGCTTCCAACTTTTACTATACAAAAAAAAAATTAACCAGAGAACCCACCGTCAAAAAAAAGTCACTACTGTGTAACTCAGGTAATCAATCAATAAGTCTTTAATTTCTCCAATAATGAAAACAAAGTTCAGATTGAATTCTGTTGAACCGGGCCTTGTAGTGAAAGGCAGTACCAGACGTACTGGAGCTACATTTTAGGTAAGTCTGAAATGACAAATCCTGATCTATGCAACTAAAAAACAAACAAACAAAAAAACGCTACAACAATGTTTTTTTTTTTTTTTTTTTACAGAAACAGATACAATGTCTTTGTGAAAACAAAGAGTTTATTCACTAAAAATGACTTTTAGTGCTTTTATAACTCAGTTGCAAAATTGAAAAAAAAAACACCCAATACTTAGCATTCAGCAGAAGTAATTAACATTAAAACACCGTATTAATCATAAATACCATAGACAGTCACCTAGTTCCTTATACTGGCGAAGTGGCCATTAAAAGCAAATGTGTTATGTTTCAAATGTGAAATCATTTGGTCTGGACACCACTTTGTGGTAGCATGTGGTATTGCAAGCAATAAAAAAAGCCTAAGATGCAATGGAGTCATCTTCAAATTCTCAGTATTTCCATATTATAAAATGCAATACTGTACAAGCAAAAAGTGTCTCACAACAGTTCTATTTTCTGGGCAAAAGTGCAAGGGACGACTATTCTGCAAAACCCTGAAAACTGATTATTATTAAAAAAAAAAAAAAAAATTTTAATTGTGTGTAGCAAACTCAGATTGACATTTCCACATATATTATTATTATTATTATTATTATTATTATTATTATTATTATTATTATTTTGGTAATCAAAAAATTGGATAATGCTTGACAGATTTTACATCCGCTATGAAGTGACCCAGATTAACCCAGCCATGTCATTATTGCAGAAACAATGATTATAGTTAAACGTGCAGTAATTAAGAGTGCAAATTATTATTATTATTATTTTATTATATATATATATAGCGCCATCAGGTTCTGTAGCGCTGTACAATGGGTGGACTAACAGACATGTAATTGTAACCAGACAACTGGACACACAGCAAAAGAGAGGTGGAGGGCCCTGGCCAATGAGCTTACATTCTAGAGAAATGTGTGTGTTATTTTTTATATAATAATAAAGTAATAACATCAGGTAGTTAGAATAAAACTGTATGTGGCAAGTCATTTATAGACTTTGAATAAATGCAGCCACAAGGTGGCAATGTATGATCAATTGTGATATTCCATATAAATTATTGAACTTTGCAATAAAACTGTATACAATTAACAAACAAGATATATTCAGATGCCATAGATGTAATATCCAATATTGGGCTCCGTTCCATTTTCTGCTGCATTGTCTGTGTGTTTTTGGTGCACAATGTTTAGGTTTCAACATTAAAACTTTTTTTTGTTTTTGCTACTCTTATAAAGCCATTTACTATCGGCAGCAATAAATCATGTAATTCTGATTTACTATCGGCTGTTATGCCACAAAAAAAAAAAAAAATACCTGTATAGAATACACAGACAAAAAAAATGAAAATTTTAGCAGTTAACTCATAGCAGGCAGCATTTTAAAATGTTTTTGTACTTCTTTCCCTGCAAATCTTACTAACTAGTGAAAAAAAAAAACTTTCAACAGGGAAGAGCTAAGAGTTGATGTTTTAATGATAAAAGAGAGTCCCCAGGAGTCCATCCCCTCTGTGCTGCATGGTATAATGAGGAAGCATTAGCTTGGGCAATGGGCAGCTGTGATTGGCTGAGAGTGGCAGCTGGCTGCTTTCAGCCTATCACAGTAGCTATTGTTGGTTGGAATTAGTATGGGTAGAAGGAAGTGTATAATGTCTTCCTTAGCCACGCCTCCAGTGGGGGCCGGGCTGTGAGTGGCCAGAGACCCTTATTTAGTGTTAAACTGCTTGAAAATGGTTTCGAGGTTAAATGGTTATAGTACTTAGTGTCCCTTTAAGTGATTATATTTGGTCTCAACACCTTATGCACAATTTTCACTTTGTGGTTGTCATGTTCTAACTCAATTTAATTGATCAAAGTGTTACCATCAGCAGCAAATTATCGTTAGAGATGCAGTTTACAGTAAACTGTTTACTTGTAGCAAGAGAACAGACCACAAAGACAATAACAGAAAATGTGTACACTAATGAGATACGGTTAAAATGCCATGCTATAAAATGAAGTATAATTTGTTTTATTTATTTGTTTCAAATAAAATAAAGTGAAACAAATAAATAAATTCTTAGCATTTATATAGCTTCAATATATTCCGCAGCGCTTTACAAATATACAAAGGGGAAGAAGAGAAGAAGGCCTTCACTTAAATTAAATAAATACAAGTGCAATAAAAATGACATTTGTTTCAATTCTTCTTTATCTCTCCAGTTCAACCTTAAGAATTTCTCCCCAATCCTCTGCATGCATCTGGTGCATGCTTCTCTTCGGAAGATCTGTAGATGAGCGTATGTTGCTGTATTCCCCATCCAGCCAATCTTTTTTCACTTTACTTTTCAGGTAATTTCTCTGCAACGTTACCTGTGGCAATATCAAATAGAATTATGTATGAAACCATGTATGCTACCAATAATCTTACGTGGTGGTTGGCAGGGTGCCAACGCAATTGGATGACAGAGACAGTCTGAAAGCTTCTACTGACTGACTACGTCACTTATGAGGATTCTAGCAGAAGCTGTGGCGTGTTGTGTGTGGTATTAATGATGTATTAATTAGTGATGTACTAACAGGGCAAGGAGTTAAGCACGTGAAAAACTTTAAGTTTTAATCTTTTGTTTCATTTACTTTTAGTTTTATCCTGTAACCATAATTGTGTTTACTGTGTTTTAAACCTCTTTTAGTAAATCTAAAGTTTTACAACTCTGTGACTGGTTAATTGTGAGTTCACATGAGTAGATCAGCAAAAAATATATTCCTACCTCTCTCACATGACCTGTGAACCAGAAGAGATCTTTGCCAGTCACGCTACACCACTATCTCTGGTGGCCTGTAATCATCATAGACTTCCACTAGGCAAGTCATTCTTTCATCTACATAATGTAAACCAGTGTTTCCCAACCCAGTCCTCAAGGCACACCTACCAGTCCAGGATTTAGGGATTACCCGGTTGTGTCTAAGGTGTTTTTTTTCTTCTTTGTAAAAACACCTTAGACACAACTGGGTAATCCCTAAATCCTGGACTGGTAGGTGTGCCTTGAGGACTGGGTTGGGAAACACTGATGTAAACCATTCACCAATTTCATGAATGCACACAAGCAATATTCACCTTCCACGGATATCCATCTCTTCGATCATTCTTGATATCCATCTGACAAACGTGAGCAATAGCCAGACAGTGTTTTTTCCATAGAGTGTTTGTGTTTTGGACTGTTTGATTGAAGAATTTACACGTTTTGCCAATAGCAACTAGATCTTCCAATTCAAGATAGCTTAATAGATGACAAAGAATTTCTGGAGGCATGCGGTCAAGGTAGCTGTTGTTGTTATTTTGTTTTTTATGTTGCTCACTCATTCTCTTCATTTTGGTCAAAATCTAAAGAAAACAAAATATTTCTAAGATGTACACTCTGCAGCACTAGATACATTAAGTAAAAGGTACAACATAAATACACAATAACAATGTCCTCACCTCGACGAACGTGCTACTTCCACCAAGTAGAAGAAACCTGTTTCATGCATAAGAGAACTGTGCGTCATTGACCTCTGAAATATTTTTATTGACAAATATCAAACAAATAAAAAAAAAAAAACAAGCTAAATTATTTCTCTGCAATGGCAGTATGTGTGAAAAGAAATCCGTAGTGTTTATTTCATAATATTAATGTTTTCTAATATGAATTTCGCAGTATATAAAGTTTATTTGTTTTGTTTTTAAAAGGCGCATCATATTGTGCTTTAATTAAAGTCTGAAAGTGAACTCAGCATGTTGTACCAGCTGATAACAGCTTATCGGAAAGTTCACTGACTCTCCAGAGCTGTGTAAGAGCTGTGTGGTTTTATTGCTAATGTTTGCAGTCTTCCAAAACAAATTAAAATTGTTCAGGTGCTTCTGATATAATTAACTCTTGCTCATTTAAAACATGTTTAACATATTCGCTAACCATTTGAATATTTCATGAAATTATTGATGCATGGATTGAATTGATATTTAAATATGCTATATGGTTCATGTACCATTCATGTAACATACTCAAATACTTAATAATTATAAAAGACATTCAGCAAGCTCAGTCTGACTCATATTCATGGTTTTGAAAAGACTACAAAAACCAATTATCAAAATAAAGATTTTTTTGAATTCCCTTATGTGGTTCACAGTGTTGGCTTTAGAACTTGTGATTCAGAAGATTATGATAGTGCGAAAAAAATGAAAGAACAGATACAAAGGTTATCCATGCCAAGATTGTGTCTTTTGGTCAAAGTCCATGAAGGGCAACTCTGCAAAATCGTTCAAATACCAACAAATCTTAAGGACAAGTAATTACTACCTTAAATAAAATGTTAGCGGCAGTGCTGTGATACAAAGTAACTCAACACTTTTCAAGGCTCAAGCTAAGTTTCATAAGTTGTACACAAAAGGTATAAAGACCTGTTGGGCAAAGTATCTGAAACTCTTCCAGACTTCAAGATGTTTGCAAATTAATTCTTTAATAAATTATTGTTGGATAAGCATTCCAAATTATTTAATATTTTGAATAAACTTTTACAACTATTTTTATAAAATATGTAATATAAAAAATATATAAAAAATATATTATATATAAAAATATCTAAAAAACTATGAATATATTACAAAATTACAATATTTTTTCATAACAATAAATTATTTTAAAAGTTTATCCACAAATAATAAATCATTTGGAAAGTTTAGTCAACAATATTAAATTAAGGCCCAAGGCCTCGATGTAATATGCTTTGTAAATGATTCAATATTGTAAGAATTTTTTTAAAATTTAACCACCAAAAAATCCCATAGCCTTAAATTGTGACTTCTGTAGATAAATCAATTGGTAACTTTTCCAACAATAGAGAAAATATCAAAATATAAAATATAAATATATATTAAAATATTACAAAATTAAAATATTTTTCATGATCTTAAATAATATTAAACGTTTAGTCATCCAACAATATTAAATCAAGGCCCAAGTGTTTTGTGAATTCCTTTTTGTGGTTCACAGTGTGTATCACTTTCCTTGGGGGATGTATGGCTTTAGAACTCGTGATTCAGAAGTTTGTGTTTGAGAAGATCCAAAGATTTCCGATCACAAGATTGTGGTTTTTTTGGTCAAATTAAATGCAGGGCAACGCAGCATTGTTAGGAAAACAATTTGTAACTCATATATAGCATCAAAAATGATCATTTCTATTTAAAAAAGTAATATTGTAACTTCACCATGTGAGAGCTGTCACATGTTTAGAAGAAACAGTTTTTCAGTCCTACATTTACTTCTGTCATTTGATATGTTTATGGGCTTACTTTTGTATTTCTGGCCATCACTTGTGTTTTCTTAACTCAAAAAGCTACACAGCACCTTCAAAAATGTCTGTCATTTACTTTACCAACTCGACAACATTAGCATGAACATTTGCAGTAGGATTGAACTAAAATTGCAGAATAATGAAACAAATATCCTTATTGATGGGTGGATATATGGATGGATGGGTGGGGGAGTGAATAACTGGATGGATGCGTGGGTGAGTGAATAACTGTATGGATAGATGGATGGATGGGTGGGTGGATGGGTGGATAGATGGATGGATAGATGGATGGGTGGAGGGATGGATGGATAGATGGATGAATAGATGGATGGATGGGTGGATAGATGGATGGGTGGGTGGGTGGATGGATGGGTGGATGGATGGATGGGTGGATAGATGGATGGATGGATGGAGGGATGGATGGGTGGATAGATGGATGGATGGATGGGTCGATAGATGGATGGATGGGTGGATAGATGGATGGTGGATAGATGGATGGATGGGTGGATGGGTGGATAGGTGGATAGATGGATGGATCGATGGGTCAATAGATGGATGGATGGGTGGATAGATGGATGGATAGGTGGATAGATGGATGGATGGGTGGATAGATGGATGGGTGGGTGGATGGATGGGTGGATAGATGGATGGGTGGATAGATGGATGGATGGATGGAGGGAGGGAGGGAGGGATGGATGGATGAAGGGATGGAGGGATGGATAGACGGATGGATGGGTGGATAGATGAATGGATGGATGGGTCGATAGATGGATGGATGGGTGGATGGATGGGTGGGTGGATAAATGGGTGGATAGATGGATGGTGGATAGATGGATGGATGGATGGGTGGATGGGTGGATAGGTGGATAGATGGATGGATCGATGGGTCAATAGATGGATGGATGGGTGGATAGATGGATTGGTGGCAAAAATATATGTCATTCACTCATAATTAGATAATAAGTCTGCATGTAATGCAATGTGAAGTATATATTGTTCTAACAGTAACAATGCTTCTCGAAACTAGAGGGGCACCCAATGGACCAGGATTTATTGTTAGCCTGATTGAATTCCAATTGGGATACCAATATAAATTTCTAGACAATGTAATCTGACATTTTAATGACCCTACTCATATTCAAGAGCAGTGATGGATTTAGAAATGCAGGATACTCATTGTAATACTTGGTATAAACATTTCTCACTTTCTGCTAACAAGGTTTTGTGCATCAGAACAAATGTAAAAAAAAAAAAAAAAATCAGACAGACAATGCTACAATGTGCCTACTATTTTCTCTTTTTCTAAATATGTGAGAACATGGACGAAAGTTTTCTTACTTACCAACTTGTGTTGTCATATGACACTATAAAAAACCTTAAATAAAAGTTGAACTAAAAAAAGATATTTACCGCAGGACTGGAGTGATTTGTAGTTTGAATTACTGAAAGCTAAATGGATTGGCTGGGCTGTAGCTAGACTAAGCAATCTAAGATTTGTCTAAGGCAAAGAAAAGGTTTTTTTTTACTGTAAGAACAATAAGGATGTGGAATTCTCTGCCTGAAAAAGTGGTTTTATCAGAGTCCATACAGATGTTCAAACAGCTACTAGATGCATACTTGCAAAAACAGAATATTCAAGGATATAATCTTTCAATGTAGGGTAATAACTGCTTGATCCAATGATAAATCTGACTGCCATTCTGGGGTCAAGAAGGAATTTTTTCCCTAGCTTGTTGCAAAATTGTGCTTCAAACTGTTTTTTTTGCCTTCTTTTGGATCAACAGCAAAAAAACAAATGTGAGGAATGCTGAACTTGATGGACGCAAGTCTCTTTTCAGCTATGTAACTATGTAAGATTAGTGAGAATTACACTACAAGAGTTTTCTGAAAGAAAAGAAATTGCCGATTCCTGGGCTGTGACTCCCAATAATCTCAAGCAGCACAGGACATTTATATCCCACTGCTGTCCTTAGAGTAAACAACTCTCTGTAACAATTATACTAACCTAACACTTATTCTACCCCTAAACGTTAATCCATCCCATCACTACCTAACACACTACTCCTGGCTCTAGCACAAACCTTAAAGGGACACTCCAGGCACCCAGAGGACTTCTGCCCATTAGAGTGGTCTGGGTGCTAACTCCCACTACCCTTAGCCCTGCAACTGTAAATGTTGCAGTTTTCATAAACTGCAATATTTACATTGCAGGGTTAACTCCTCCTCTAGTGGCTGTCTACTAGACAGCCACTAGAGGGCACTTCCTGGTTTATAGCACAGATCTGTGCTATAGCGTCGCTGGACGTCCTCACACTATGTGAGGACCTCCAGCATCGCTGAAATCCCCATAGGAAAGCATTGAATGCATTTTCAATGCTTTCCTATGGGGAGGTCTAATGCGCGTGCGGGGGAGGAGCGTGGGCGAAAAATTTTGCAAAACTGCAAATTGTGTTTTATGGGAAAATAATGAACCCCCTGGATAATGGAGACATTTTATTCTTTATATCTCCACAAACACTCAATGGCATTATTTTCCTGCAATACAGTGCCCTCCACTAATATTGACACCCTTAGTAAATATGGGCAAAGGAGGCTCTGAAAAATTATCTTTAGTATTTAACATTTTAAACTTTTGTTTAAAAAAATAATAATAATACACAGAAATACTCTGATCTAATGAATATCAAACAATTGCAAACACAACACAGGTTTACCCCTTTGTCAAATATATGTGTGGCACAATGAATTATGAATTAATAGGAGAAAAATATCTTTGAAGTATATTCTCATTGATATTTTACATTTTTTAATACACCTGGGTGACTAGGAACAGGAAAGTTTAATCATGACTTCCTGTTTCAAGGGGGTGTAAATATGAGTTAATACATAGGCCAAATTCCCTTACTCATTCATCACATTGGGTAAGACCCAGGAATATATCAGTGATGTGCGGCAAAAGGCTTTTGAGCTTCATAAACTGGGAAGTGGCTATAAGCAAATAGCAAAAGAATAGAAAATGCCCTCTCTTACCATTAGGCAATAATTAAGAAGGTCCTGTCAACTGGAAATGTTATGAATCAACTTGGAAGAGGACATGTGTCTATTTCCTAAACCTTCCCTTATCTTTAGTGTCACTTTACCCCACTCAGTCTAGCATGTTAGCGCATTGAGCAGGGCCCTCAACCCCTCTGTTCCCATGCATCAAACTTCTCTGGTTACAAATACATGTTTGTTAGTCCACCCATTGTAAAGCACTATGGAATTTGTTGGCGTTCTATAAATATAATAATAATATTGTCTCAGCACACTATGAAGAGGATTGTTCAAGTGGCCCAAAAATCTCCAAGAATCATAGCTGGATAATTGCAGAAGTTAGTGGCATCTTTAGATCAGAAAGTCTCCAAAGCTACATATTGACCTCACCTACATCACCACAAGTTGTTTGGAAGGGTTCCAAGAAAAAAGCCTCTATTGTTATCCAAAAAGTAACTCAAGCATCTTCAGTTTGCCAGACACTACTGAAACTTCATATGGGATCGGGTTGTATGGTCAGATGAAACCATAATAGAGTTTTTTGGCAAGCAGCAGAGGTGGGTTTGGCACACATAGAGAGGTAGCATTATAGAAAATCACCTCATACCAACAGTTTATGCTCTTTATGTTCTGAGGCTTTTTTTTCTGCAAGAGGACATTTTATTAGGATACATGGCATCATAGACCCTATCAAATATCAACAGCTGTGGTTGGATCTTCCAGCAGGACAATGATCCAAAACATAAGCAAATAGCAAAAGCATTGAAAATGCCCGCTCTTACCATTAGGCAATAATTAAGAACGTCCTGTCAACCTATCAAATATCAACAGATATTAAATGAACACGACTGCCTCTGCTAGAAATCTTAAAATGTGCTGTGGATGGATCTTCCAGCAGGACAATGATCCAGAACATACATCAAAATAAAAACAATAATGCTTTACTGACCACAAAATCAATGTCCTGCTATGGCCAGCCCAGTCCCTTGACTTGAACCGTATGAATAACCTGTGGGTGACATGGAGAGGAGAGCCCACCAGCATTGACCTTGACATTTGAAGGATCTGGAGAGATTCTGTATGGAGGAATGGTCTCAGATCCCTCGCCATGTATTCTCCAACCTCATCAAGCATTATAGGAGAAGATTCAAAGCTCTTATCTTGGTAAAGGGAGGTAGCACAAGTATTAACTAAAATGGTGCCAATACCTGTGCTACAAATATATTTAACCAGTTTATTATTTTTCTTTTTTTTTACAAACCTGTGTTGTATTTGATATCCATGAGAGCAGAGTATTTTTGTGCTTTTTGTGGACAAAAGATTAAACAACAAAGACAATTTTATTACAGCCTTCTTTACTCACATTTACCAATGGTGCCAATATTAGTGAATGGCAATGTATATGTCTCACTGCTATGTATCCTCTCTCTCTCTCTCTCTCTCTCTCTCTCTCTCTCTCTCTCTCTCTCTCTCTCTCTATATATATATATATATTGTTCATTTATATTTGCAGTTTCCACTTTTTTCATCCAGCCCTCTCTCAATAATGATATTGTGGTAGAGTAGCTAAGGAGACAGAAACAGAACAATTCTGTCTCACCAGCTCAGGTACAGGCAAATCCTTATCAGGAAAGGAGCTGAATAAATGTCAGTAATTGCAAATAGCAACTATTGCCTGGGAGGGTAAATTCCTGGGCTGGGGGGTTGTATATTCTGGCGCTGGCTGATTAATGGAACTCCTGTCTTGGCCCTAACCCTAGCCACAGACCAAGCCTTAAAAAAAAGTAATGTAATATAAGAGATAAGTAATGGTGATGCCATCTCAGGGTTCTGAAGTCTTAACCCTCAGTCTGGTTGAATTTTTAAAATGATTCCAGAAACCCTCAAAGGCATTCCACTGATGCCCATGCCGCAATCAGTCCTTTCTTTCAGGAGAAGCCAGATGGCTCTATTCAGCTAGGCGGCAGATAGAGGACCCCTCTTGTCTGCTGAGGGCGCTTGGATGACACTTCCAGCCAACCAGCACATCTCTGCATGGCTCTGCTATACCCAGTAGAGCTAACCAGATTCTTCTGCAATCTGAAATCTCCTGAGAATTCTAAATGTGGGACCAAGGTAAGTTGTCAAACTGTTCTAAAACAGTTTGACAAATTGCACTGGGATGGAGCCAAGGCACTCCTGGCACCATAACCATTACATCGAGCTGCATTGGTTTTGGTGCTTGGAATGTTTAAAAGGAGAACATTATGGAAATATTTTATTTTCTCAGAATAGTGCCATTAGTTAGGAGAGACTCCCAAATGTGTGTTATGAGTGTCCATAAGCAATCTTTTGAAATGTCAAGATGAGAACTAGATATGAATTGTGTTTGTGATAAATGTACTGGTTCTGGATAAGGCAATGGATAGAAAGTGAGCTGCTAACTGGGAAAACAGGATGTGAACATGTATTTGCCAAGTTAATAATTAGAGGAGTACATTAAATAAAAAAACACGGATGGATGAATGGATGGATGGATGTATATGGAGATTTGAAAGGACATACAGTCACATTAAACAGAAAAATGAAAAAAGGACTATTGAAACATGTTTATTTGTAAAGACACGTATATAAATAACATACATCCAGAAAAAAAAGACACCAAACAGTGCAAAGTAATATTTTATACATGAAAGACAAATGGATCAAACTCTGTTACACTGGTAAAAAAAAATAGTATATACACATGTTGAAATACCAATGTATTTTTACCGATTGAGATTTACGTTTTGCCAAATATTACACGTTTAACTCATGCAAAGCATTAGAGAACTACTTGAAACAGAGTATGTAACTCCTACAAAGTAATTTATTTTTGAAAATGGGATTGCCTTATTCAGCAGCATACAGATCAGTGGCTCTGTTATGATGCACAGAATTATATATATATATGTGTATTATATAATAGACATTTTTTTTTTTCCACAAAAATATTTTAAATTGGATTTCAAGCAGAATAAAGTGAGTATAGTGGTTGTCTGGATTATGTAACTGAACATCCCAAACATTGCAATTTTTAAAGTAATTTAAAATAAACAAGAACATATAATTTTGATCAAACAAAACACTATATTGGTCATAGTCAGTTCCATGTGAAGGTGTATATTTTTACAAAGTTACAAAGAAAAACTACGGTCAGGTCAGACTGTTATATAGATTGTCCAAGCCATCCCCATTTTCCAAGTCAAATTAGAGGTTGGCCATGGAGTATTCTCAAAGAATACTAATTAGCAAATTGAAATACTTGGCAAACGAGCTTTCTTGTGGTTGTCTAAGGATTATCTGCTCCTAATATTGAAAGAATTGAAAACCCTGTGTTCCTTATCTTGAAAGCTTCTGCTCAGTTCAATTTATACACATCAGCTAATTTAGCTTGGCTTTGCTTCTCATACAAATCCAGTTATGGAGAATGTTCTTCCTGGCAGCTGTCAAAACCTTTTAAATAAACCCAAGGTATTTTGAGAAAGTTTAAGGGAAAATACCAAATAAGGACAGCTTCGGGGACAGTGGCACCAGGAAGAGTAAGGTAGTCTGAAGGTAAGTTTGAAGGTAAGGTTGTACCTCTCCCTAAAACTCCTTTATTCCAGAGCATTCCCCAAAACACCGAAAGCAATCAGTTCCCTCTTCCCTGTATTTCAGGTTCTTTGAGTCAAACTCAGTCTGTATTGGAAGTCAGGTAATATGTAGGCGTGTAATGCTACACACCGATGCATCTCTTGATACAAAGATACTAAAAAGGGTTTAAATAGTTTGTTTGTCATGGTGAGAATGTCATCTGTGGAATGGAGGGGGAATGATGTTTTCCATTAATGGAATGGCTAGTTGTAGGACCATTCTAATATAACTGTAAAGTAACCTGATAGAGTTGTGGGCTCGGGAAGGGTTTCTAATAAGAATCCAGTGTGTGTCCGGTCAGTGTCATGTAAGTGTGTCAGAACCGTGTTAATGCACCTTTTAATTTGTAAGTAGGCAAAAAACATGCCACGCTGCTTTTAACTAAGGAATATCATAGCAGCACCATAATGGGAGGCTCATTTTAACTCGACATTTCTATATCAAGAGTTTTAAAGTGAATGGTTTTATAACAGCACATTCATTGCATAACCATGCCGAATGTACAATATTATACAGTATTAAAAATACCTACTTCAATGAGGCCAATAATCTTTGCCCACTCTACACAGTCATTCCCTAACATTTGGAGAATTGGGAAGGATTAGAGTTTGGGGTGATCTTGGTAATAGGAATGATCATTAGTATTAAAGGGACACTCCAATCACAAAAAAAACAAACCACGATGGCTTTCATATACTCCCAAAGAAAACATGAAAAACAAATAACATGCATATTTTCAATGGGGACATATCTGCTAAACTGTTCATGAAGTGTTTCTTTATACATTAATAGTGTATTTATTCACTAAATGACAAAACAACAACTGATGATGACAGATACCAGTCAAATCAAGTATCTACTCTCCCCAGGTAACCTTCTAAAAAATATTGCATACTATGGATGTTCCGGACTAGCATCTACCGTGATATATTATTCCACGATATTCAAAAACCATGACCTATTCTTCCAGTAGTTCAATTTTATAAAGAAATAAACATACATTTCTTGCTATACGACATTAAACCATAAGCAAAGTTTTGAAAATAAAAACTTTAAAAAACTTTAAAAAACCTTTTAAATGCTGATAAAGTCCTTAACAAGTTTAACAAGTTAGTATAGTTACTAAAAATAATATAGAGTTCCACTCGGCAGACAGGCACTAAAGGGAAGTATGAACTGGTCTTTAAGTAAAATAATAACCTGTGGTTTGATGTTCACACTCAGGCAGGTAGATAGAAACTAACCAACTGTTGACAGACAGTCCTCTGGACTTAGAATGCTAGATGGTCTTATTGTTGATCTGTCTCTCTTGGCAACAGCACCAGGTAAAAGGCTGTTTGATGCTCAGTGGCAAGGAAGGTGCTCAGTCAATAACTGCCAGTAAAAGTATCTCCTGCTCTTATTTAATGTATATCTGTAGTCCCTCCCATTTTTTGAACAATTCCGTGTCTGCTTTTGATTGGCTGTTGGCCAGGTTCCAGAAATTTCTGCTCATTATACTAGGGTTGATCAATGTTTGTGTTCCTTGTAACCTGAATTATGTCACAGTCACGCCTCTTGACACGCACAGTTTCCATGTATCAAGGTACACATAGAGATAACAAATGACTTAGTTACACATACACACATACAATTCTAGAGCTTTTTTTAGACCCGAAGGTTTTGTAAGCAATGCTACTATCTTGCAGTCTTACATGTCTCAAGTATTTTAAACAATATTAAACATTCTATAAAAATATGTAAGTTTCCTAATAGTGTTTTAATTGCAGTTGGTTATCCCTCACTGAGACTCTTGCTACACTGTATAGGATTATATAAGTCTGAAGATTGATTGAAAAGTCTGTTTATGGCAGAACCATATCATTTTTTGCATACCCTTGTGTATGCTCTTCGTAACTAATAGCATTAAAGATTCAATGTTTTTTTTTTTTTTATACATTCTTTATTAGAGACAATTTTTTGCAAATATAAAGATCACACATAAGAAATAGATATATAACATATCTCAGAAATATTTCCACAAAGAGAAAGTGTGATTCTAAGCGCTTAAACTAGTCCATTAAAAAAAAAAAAAAAAATATATATATATATATATATATATAATACAATGTTAAATTCTCTTACAAGTGAAAAAACACCTTAAGAATTTAGTGATTCACAATAGGCACATAAAAGAAACACAATTAAAATAAAAACAGTGTAGATGATAATACAAAATACAAGTGCATGTGTGTGCGTGTATAGATTAGTAAAACTTTGTCATTGAGCGTGAGTATGGGTCAGTGAGCGATAGTGTGTCAGAGAGTGTTTCAACACCTATATATGGATTTATTTTTCCCATTTAAAAAAAGATAGATAAATAGATAGATAGATAGACAGACAGATAGGTAGATAGATAAATAGATAGATAGATAGATATATACACACTACAGAGTAAGAAAATCTGAGAGGGGAGAGAAACACAAAGGGGGATAAAAGACAAAAGGGGTCTAGAGACCACAAAATGTGTGATTATGACTCAAAAGAATGGCAAACAGGGGATACAATCTAAAGAGGGAAAAGAGAAACAAAAAGGTGAAAAAGGATGGGTAAGATGGGCAAAAGCAGGGTTAATAGACACACAGGTGAAGACTAATTTTAAGGGCGGAAATTGTGTCTTTGCCTGTGTAGACAAAAATCCTTGCGCCGGCACTGGTGTAGTAGATATAAAATTTACCATTATACGTCCCACTCAGATCACTGCCTCCTGCAGCAGCTTTCTCATTCTTGGAAAGGTACCCAGTCATGGTATATTAACCCCTTCAGACCGGAGGGCGTACTACTACTCCCTATTTTAGGTGGCTCTAAACGCCGCCGGGCGTAATTTTACGCCCTCCGGTTTTTCTTTACTTACCCGGTCGCCGGCGATCCCACGCCGGCGATCGCGGTTGGGGGGACTCCCAGGGAGCCCCCCGCGGCACGTCCGACCCCCTGGCCATGTGAGAGTAAGGTCCTTGCGAGGACCTCACAATCACATGGCCGGGTTAGCTGGCTGCTGCATTGCCAGCAGGGGGACTGCCTGTAATGACAGGTAGTCCCCCTGCTGGCTGAATTAAAATAAAATAAAGTTAAATAAGTGTAAAAAAATAAAATAATATACTTAGATCATATATATATATTATCTCCCTATACCCAGTCAGGGTGTATTTATATTATTATCTCCCTATAACCAGTCAGGGTGTATTTATATTATTATCTCCCTATACCCAGTCAGGGTGTATTTATATTATTATCTCTCTCTACCCAGTCAGGGTGTATTTATATTATTATCTCTCTATACACAGTCAGGGTGTATTTATATTATTATCTCTCTATACCCAGTCAGGGTGTATTTATATTATTATCTCTCTTTACCCAGTCAGGGTGTATTTATATTATTATCTCCCTATACCCAGTCAGGGTGTATTTATAATATTATCTCTCTCTACCCAGTCATGGTGTATTTATATTAAGTAATATCTTCCTATACCCAGTCAGGGTGTATTTATATTAAAGGGACACTCCAGTGCCAGGAAAACAAACTGTTTTCCTGGCACCGCATGTCCCCTCTCCCTCCCACCCCCTATCCCAAGTTTACATTATTATTACTGTAATTAGTGTATTTATATTATTATTTATATAAGTAGTGTATTTATATTATTATTATTGTAATTAGTGTATTAATATTATTAATATAATTAGTGTATTTATATTATTTTTATATAATTAGTGTATTTATACTATTATTAATATATGTAGTGTATTGCTATTATTATTTATATTATTATTAATTATTAATTATTAATATAATTTGTGTATTAATATTATTATTTATATAATTAGTGTATTATATTATTATTTATATAATTAGTGTATTAGTATTAATATTTATATAATTAGTGTATTTATATTATTATTTATATAATTAGTGTATTAATATTATTATTATTTATTTATATAATTAGTGTATTATTATATTATTATTTATCTAATTAGTGTATTAATATTATATTATTATTATTTATATAATTAGTGTATTAATATTATTATATTATTATTATTTATATAATTAGTGTATTAATATTATTATTATATTAATATTATTATTTATATAATTAGTGTATTAATATTTATTATTTATATAATTAGTGTATTAATATTATTATTATATTATTATTATTATTTATATAATTAGTGTATTATTATTATTATTATTTATATAATTAGTGTATTAATATTATTATATTATTATTATTTATATAATTAGTGTATTAATATTATTATTATATTAATATTATTATTTATATAATTAGTGTATTAATATTTATTATTTATATAATTAGTGTATTAATATTATTATTATATTATTATTATTATTTATATAATTAGTGTATTATTATTATTATTATTTATATAATTAGTGTATTAATATTATTATATTATTATTATTTATATAATTAGTGTATTAATATTATTATTATATTAATATTATTATTTATATAATTAGTGTATTAATATTTATTATTTATATAATTAGTGTATTAATATTATTATTATATTATTATTATTATTTATATAATTAGTGTATTATTATTATTATTTATATAATTAGTGTATTAATGTAGACTCTCCAATGTTACACTATGTGTAAAGCCTGCAGCCTGAGGCACGGTAAGGTACAGTCACGTGACTATTGTTTATGGAGATACTGCCTGCTGATTGGTGGGTCCTCAGTCACGTGACCGTCTCCCTCTGCCCTAACGCGGAAGTGCAGTGAGCGGGCTGGAGCTGGAGGGGCTGTCCGGCTGTCAGTGCTCGGATCCGGCCGGTCCGCCGAGAGTCACCGAACACACTGCCCCGGGTACAGCTCACATGTCGGCCTTTCAGCTGGAGGCCACGGATGGCAGTGGGAGCACAGTCCTGCCCCAGGGGGAGACACTGATAGGAAGAGGACCTCTCCTGGGGGTAAGTAGCCATGTCCTGGGGAGGGGTGGGT